CCTCGGGCTGGAGCCCTGGTGCCAGTGTAGCACAAGGGGGCAGTGGGTATCATGGGCTGGGGCGCAGCAGTCAGCTTTGGTTGCAGGATGCTGCAGTAACAAGCAAGACCCTGCCTCCAAACCCCAGAAGGAAGACTGAGTACCAGGTCTCTGAGGCTTGCAGTGACAAAGACCGTCATGTGCTCAAGGGCCTGCTGCCAAGAGCTGGGTTGTGCGGGTACATTGTCCAGAGGTCAGGCTTCTACACAGGCCATCAGCAGGGTGCTGGCGACAGGGTGGGGTTGATAATTCTGCACAGCTCTTGTTCCCACGGCCCTGTCACTTTTTCAAAAGCTTTTGAGTATGTTGAGGGTGCAGTGGGGGTGGGGTGGGATAACCTGGGTCACCCTGGATTGAGAACCACTGACCCTCCTCCCCACGGCAAGGCCTGACTCTGTGTTTGCTCCCTCTGGCTTCCTCAGTGTACCACCCATGGCGAGTCCTTAACAGATTCTGCCTCTTGAATAAGTGAATGGATTTGTCAAACTTTCTGCATCAGTTCATTCATGCATTCAGCAAACTACTATGAGCCCTGCTGTGCAGGAAGCAGCAGCTGACCGCAGGCGAAGGCATGCTTGATATGCAAGTATTTAATTACAAAATTTTCAGCTGTGAGTGGTGGTGCGGTTCTGTGTTCCCAGCAGTTTGCGAGGCTGAGGCAGAAGGATGACAGTTTCAAGCTTAGCCTGGGCACTTAGCTATTCAGTGAGACACTGGCTCAAAATAAAACAAGGAAGGGCTGAGGTTGTGGCTCAGAGCGGAGATCATGCCCTTTCCATCCCCAGTACCAAGAAAAAAAAAAAGCACTGGGGCACATTTCAGATGTTTACAGAGTAGAGAGAAAAATAAAATGCAGATTCCTCATTCCACTCACCCCACATCTACTCCCTTCCTCTGTGTTCACAGGCAGAATGGGACTCCTGTGCTGAGGCCACCTGCCATAGGTCCCCTGCACACTTGGAGTGTGGCCAGTACCACTGAGAACTAAGTGCTTAATTTTACTTGACTTTATATATATATATATATATATATATTTTTTTTTTTTTTTTTTGTCTTTTTTTTTTTTGAGATGGGATCTCACTATGCAGTTCAGGCTGGCCTTGAGCTCACTTTGTAGCCCAGGCTGGTCTTGAACTAGCAATGATCCTCCCACCTCAGCTTCCTGAGTGCTGGGATTACAGGTGTGAGCCTCCACGCTTGGCTTTGACTTTATATTTATATAGGTTTGATTTGAAACTTTATGTTTGTATACATTCTGTTGAAAACTTCATTGCCCCTAATTGCCTCTTAACTCATTTTATATTCTGAGACCCAGCATGAAGCGTGACCGGCTTAGCCTTACTTTATCTGTTTCCTTTTGCTGCTGGCCTTTGGGCTCAGGGCTTCACCCTGAACTCCATCCTCAGCCCTTTGCCTTCTTCATTCTGAGGCAGGGTCTTGCTAAGCTGACCCATGGTAGGTGTCCTCTTAGGGGCATGGAGGACATTCGGACAGTGCAGCCTCCTCACCACCCAGCTCCGGAGTGCCTCATCTTTGCAAACTACAGCTCTGCCCATTGAGCAGGACTCTCCTCACCCCCAGTCTGGCCACTGCCCTGCCATGCCTGTGGATGGGGCAGAGCCTCTGGTAGGCAGTGTCCCACAGACCGGGCTTTGTGTGACTGATGTCTCTCTCTCGGCTTGTGTCACAGTGATGTCAGGGTTCCCTTTTTGTTTGTGTATTTGGTCTTTTCAGACAGGGTCTCAATATGTATCTCAGATTGGCCTCGAAGTTGAAGCGATCCTCCTGCCGAAGCCTCTCTAGCATGTGCCACCACACCCGCTTAGGAATCCTCCTCTTTAATTCAACACTTTCATCTGCGGACAGGACCCGTCCTGCCTGCGAGCTATTGTGACTTGGGCCACTCTGGACCTGGCTATGCAAACGCCTCCTGAGCTGCCTGCCTTCTCCCTGGTGCAGTAGAGTGGCTAGATCATGTGCTTGTTCTATTTTTAAAGTTTGGAGGCCCCGCCAAACCATTTCCCAGGACCTCCGCCTTCTGGATTCCTACCGGCAGCGGCAGCAGAGGGGCAGCAGAGGCTGCAGTTTCCCACGTCCAGTCCGTCCTGGCTGGCCGCCGGCCTGAGGCAGGAGGTGGCGCCTCACTGTGGCCTGGACTGCATTTCCCCGGTGATTGCTCCTGCCAAGCGCCTCTGCATGGCTCGTTGACCATTTGTAGATTTTCTTTGGCAAAATGTCTATTCATGTCTTTTTGTTCTAATGTCTTTCATTGTAATGAATTTGAACTTGGAAGGGTGGAGCCATGCATGTGTACTGGCAGCTGTGTGAGAAACTCCAGGTCCGTAAGCCCCAGCACCTGCAGTAAAGTGCACACAGCATCATTCATTCCTAGATGTTTCAGGATGTTTCTTGGGGTGGGCGGGGGGGGGGGGGGCTTTGTACTGAGCCACATCCCCAGCCCCACCTCTTCCTTTTTTTTTGAGACAGGTTCTCGCTGTGAAGTTCAGGCTGGCCTTGAACTCTTACGTGCCCAAACTGGTCTTGAAATGGTAGTGATCCTCCTGCCTTAACCCCCTGAGCTGTGGGATTACAGGCATGCACCACCACGCCTGGCTTGTTTTGTTTTCAAGACAAAGTCTTGGTTATGTAGTTCAGGTTGGCCTCAAACTTCTTGCAATCTTCCTACCTTGGCCTGGCTCCCTAGAGGAAGAGGGGAAGCCACTTGGAGCTCCTGCTGTCCTTCCTTGTGGCTCTGTCTGTCACATTTGTGAGGTGATGCAGCAGCTCTGTCACCCTGCCTGGTGATGGTCTGAAGGATGCGATGGACAGAGAAGCTTTGTGGGTCGTGGCTCTGGGTGGGGCACAGTCCTAGCTGGCCTCCCCTGCTCCACTGCAGGATCTGGAGCACATTACCAGCCCCCCATCCTGTGCCTCAGTTTCCTCATCTGTGGAGTAGTATGGTAGAAGCCTCTGCCTGGTAGAGACCTCCAGATGGAGAAGTGCCCAGCATGGTTTATGGTCAGCACTCTCAGATTCTGTGTGTGCACATTCACCTGGTCCATAATGTGATGCTTCTTGGTCATTTGCAAAAGGATGGAGAATAGTAGAAAAAAACCTAAGTCCCCTGACGTTCTGCCCTTTCATTCAGTGCCTACCCGTCCCCTTGTTTCCGTGTGTGTGTGTGTGTGTGTGTGTGTGTGTGTGTTGACTTCACTGTTTGGGGTGTTCCCATACACAGTGCTGAGGTGCTTTTGCTACTCAGGCACAGCACATCCTCAAGGATGCATCTGTGACAAAGAGCTGTGAGCTCAAGGTGAGCAAATCAGCGATACGGGGCGTGACTGAAAACCACAGCGAATGGTGTTGTTTTCAGCTGATTGTAGTAAAGGACACCACCAGGAATCCCCCTCCGAAGATTCCCAGCTGTGCTTGGTTCTTCCCGCTTTCTGGAGCACTTCTGGCATCTTCTTTGATGAACGTCTTTAGTCACACTGTCGTGGCTGCCTCTGTGTCCTGAATTGGTTCACATGTTTCCATTCCATGTCATTTCGACTTTGGGGAAGTAAGTGCTAGAGGTCACGTGGTGGCAGAGTGGGTGCAGAGTGTGGAGGAGGACCCACTGTTGTTTTATGCACCTGTCTTTCCAATGGGTGGCACAAGGCGGCAGCATTTACCTTCTGTGATCACACTTTGTAAAGACTTGAAAGAGGGCTGCAGAACTGCCTTATGGCAGTGGCCACGGACGATGGGGTAAGTGTATTCCAGGCTAGGGTGATTTTGGGCAGTGCATCTTTTACTATAACATACTTTCCAAAAATGTGAACTGTCCCCAGTGGTCGGTCACTGATAGTCACCCTGAGTGTGCACTAAAGAACACCTTTATTTATTTAATTTTTAAATTTTATTTAAGAAGACAAAAGAAAAAAGAAAAAAAGAAAAAAAAAACAGAAAAAGGGTACAGATTATACAGACTTTCAGAAAAAATAAACAGTAGGAAATCACTAGTTAATTACATATTGTCATCTTAGAAATAGTTGTTGAAGTTACAAAATTAAAGCATATAGAAGGGACTTTCAAACAGTGAGATTGCAAACAGTTTTGTTCAGTGATCCAACAAAACTCAGTAATATGGTTATCTATCTTATACACTTAAATATATATGCAGTTATATCTTTTAGAGAAAGAAGGTCCCTTTAAACAGAAACATGGAGGCCACGGGGTTGATGAGGATAATGTGGTGAGAGACTTGCAGAAACCTGGGTCCCGAGCACCTCCAGTCCCCAGCCCAGGGCTGTCTGTGTCATGAGGCCTGGCTTGTGTGACAGGACCGCAGTACAGGGATTCATGTGAGCTGCGTGTTGTGGCACAGTCTGTGGGGCATGTTGCTCTGTGTACCTCATGAGTGGGGGACAGAGTGCTGGTTTGTGTGGCTTTGAGCTAGCACCTGTCCTCTCTTTCACTCTTCCTGTCTGCCCCCATCCTCCATCTGTATCCTCCCTCCAGTCGTTGCCTGCCTCCCACAACCCTAACCTATACCCTTGCAATTCATTCTGTTTGTCTCTCTCCATCACTGTGTTGGTTACTTTCTTCTCATTTCTGGGACAGATACCTGACTCCCAGAGTTAACAACAGAGGAAAGGTTTATTTAGCTCGCAGCTTGTGGAAGTTTCAGTCTATAATCTGCCGGCTGCAAGGCAGGGTGGCTCATGGTAGAGGGCAGCAGTTGGCGGTGCAAGACAGCAAAAGCTACAAGAGAACAAGGGAGGAGTGCAGAGAGAAGACTCTGTCCCTTTTATTGGATGTAGGTCACACCCACCGTAGCACTGGACCATGAATCAATCACAGATTCTAGAAGCCTGCCCCCATGACTCCATGAGGCTTTGGAGGGGACACCCAGATGCAAAAACAGTCACAGAGCACATCTTTTCCCTCTCACTCAGCCTCTCATTCTCTCCCCGCAGCTGGCCCCCGAGAGGACGCTCTTCAAGTCCCCAGCTGGGGGCCCCGCGTAGACCTGGAGCAGACACCCCCACCTTCCCTTCATGATTCGTTTGTAGCACAGGTAACGGGGTCTGGGGGGTCCTGTTCATTCCTGGGCCAGCCGCCCCTCCATGCACTTCTTGGGCCCACTGTGGTGTATGGGGGAGGAGGCCTGACTCCCCCTCCAGCCTGCTCCTGGGGTCCTTTGAGCCTCCCTCCAGCCCCTCTCCAGATCCTGGGGAGGCTGCTGTCAGGCAGGGTGGAGAACAAAGTCTCTCGGGTCACCATCCGGTGACATAGAGAGGAAGAAACAGGCAGAGCTAAGGCTGCTGAGGAGCAAAATGGCCTTGTGTGTGGTGTGGCCCTGGGCACGTGTGTTCCGTCTGCACCTCATGGTGGGAGGGGAGTGTGGGAGCTGGGGCCAGGCCTGTAACATGTCCTCTGTGTATGTTTCTTAAGGGGGTCACTAGATTTCATCAGCTTCCCCAGAGCTCAGGAGAGAAGCCCCACTTCCTCCAGGGCCCCTGTCTGTGACTCTGCCTTGTGCAGTGTGCCTGAGGCCTCGAATGCAGGGGGTTAGGGGGTTAATTAAGAGGTCCTTGCCAAGTGCGAGCAGAACGCTTTCTGGATGAGGGACCCCACAGAGCCTATGTGCCTGTGTGTGAGAGATGACCCAACCCTGTCCTCATGCCCTCAGTGACATGTAGGGCCTTACGCATGCATGCAAGAAGTGGGCACCTGCCCTGGAGGGATCTGCCTGTTGTCTACACCTTGTCCTCCCTGGGAGGGAGAGGTGGTTTGGGAGAAAGGAGGGGTGCAGTTGAATGGGAGTTTGGAGGGAGGGAGCAGATGTCACAAAGGCCCGACAGGTGCCTGGGGCAGGTGGCTGGTGGATGGAGGCTGCTTGGGAGGCTGGGTAGGGGGCTGGGGCAATGGATGGACCCAGGCAGCACCCGTCAGTCACCTTGGGCGTGAAACGGTGGAGGAACAGCATCCCTCCCCCCAGGGATCGAACGTGCTAACATTTGTGACGCACTTAGATTGTGCCCTGCTGGGGAAGCGCTTAGCAAATGTTAGCCCTCCTCATCCTCATCATTCTCACGGGCTCGCTTGCTCGCTCGCTCACTCGGCAGCCTCTGACTCAGCACCCTCCCTCTCTTCTGCCTCAGTTTCCCAGTAACCCCTCCCTTCCTTGAGAATCATATTGCCTAGGGCTTCAGGGAGACCCGGGACCTTGGACCCTTGGCCCTTCCTGCTGCCCCCTTGCGCTCTCTGTCACCTTGTCACCCTCAGGGCAGACCCCTCTGCACTAGTGCTGGACCAGGCTCTGAGTTTGAGGAGCAGGATAGCAGGGCAGTGTAGAGCTTGGTTTCTGGGCAGGCCCTACCACCTGCTTGCTGGGAGATGGAGAGTGACTGTTTGGATGCCTCCCGCTCCTCACCTGCAGAGCCAAGTGTCCGGTCCCCTTGTGGCCTCTGTGAGGACCCATGTAGCCCTGCATGTCCAGGGTACTTAGCACCAGGCCTGTGTGCAGCCAGGGCTCTCCTGGTTTGGCTGGACACTGCCCACATCAGAGACTGGGGTGCTCGGGTGAGGACAGGAGGGAAGGGAGCTGTCCCCAAGGGCTCATGGGAAAGGAAGCTTCAACACCTGCAGGGGCTCCCTGAAGGGAGGGCTGGGCACAGCGCCACAATCTAACCTTGTCTCCCTCACCCTCTTCCTGACCCCGCCCATCCAGTGGCGATGGATGATGAGGATGGGAGATGCTTACTAGACGTGATTTGGTGAGTAATGGGCTCCCTGCCCTCTGTCCTAGACACCCTTCTCCTCCCTGCCCAGCTCACCTCCTCAGTGTTCCTCTCTTCTCTTTCAGTGACCCTCAGGCCCTCAACGACTTCTTGCATGGGTCAGAGAAGGTGAGTGTGACAGGGAGCAGAGCTTGCTAAGCAGGGCTGGATTCTGTGCTGGGCAGCATACATGGCGGATCCCAGCCCTCTCACCTTATGTGTTCCCTTAATTAATGAAGACGCCAGTAATTAATAAAGGCAATAGTGAAAAGCACCATTCAGAGTGTGATAAAACATAATAATGTGGTGATGCACACCTGTAATCCCTGCACTTGGAAGGCTGAGGCAGGATTGCTGCTAGTTTGAGGCTAGCCTGTGCTGCCTAGCGAGTTCAGGGCCAGCCTGCAATATATGGCAATACCCTATCTCAAAAAACAAAACAAAAAATTTCACTTGTACAGGGAAAGGGATTTGGGCTAGGTAGGCTCTGTGGAGGGTACTCATCTACCTAGCATTCACACAGTCCAAGGTCCAATCCCCAGCACAGGAAAGCAAGTGTAAGAAAAGGAATGGGCAGGGGCTGGGGATTTAGCTCAGCAGCATAAGCGCCTGCGTTGGAAGCAGGCAGTCGTGGGTTCGATCCCTGGTACCAATAAAAAGGAAAAGGAATGGGCTGCGGGGCTCCTTCAGTGTGATCAGAGAGGGAGACTAACGAGGTGACCCTGCAGGTGACCACGGTGCTCCAGGCAGGGGAAGAGCAGGGACACAGATGGCAGAGGGCATGTTGAAGGATCAGAAAGTCTGGTGGGGCCAGACTGCAAGGAGAAGGAATGAGACAGGAGTAAACCGAAGCACCTGGCGACATGGACCTGGAGATGAGTTTGGTTTTACTCTGATTGGCAACAGCCCCGTAGATTATTAAGCAGGGCAGGCAGGCAGATGTGCTGTGCTGTGCCCTTGGAGCCCAGGACACAGCGCCAGAGTGGAAGTCTGGTGAGTGAGGAGCTGTATGCAGTGCTCTATGCCATCTGGCACGGCTCTGACTTGGGAGCAGCTGTGATGTTGCCATTGAGAGGTGCGGGGCAGCTTCAGCCCCCTAGGGTGGCTGTTGACAGGAGGCCTCAGTTCCCTGCTGCAAGGACTTCACCGTAGTGCTGCTAAGTCCACGCCCCACTCGGAGTAGACTTGAGCTCCCCCTTGCAAGGAGAAACAGCTGGTAATTCAGGGACCAAGGCATCGCTGGCCTGGGCCAGTACAGTGCAGGCTATAGAGGGAGTGAGGGGCATGGATTGGAGTCCCTGTGGGAGGCAGAGTCACCAGACCTGCCGGTGACCACAAAGAAGTGGTGACTCTTGGGCTTGGGCTCTTGGGCTATGGTACTGCTGTGGAGCTGGAGAGCTAGGGGTGGGATCCCACAATCAGAGGGCTACTGGGCATCCCAGGGAGACCTTGGGGGAGGTTGGGCCATGGACAGAGGCTCAGGGTGCTGTTTGGGTGCTGAGATGCCCTGCAAGAGCTGGCACCCAGGGGTGTTAAGCTCTCAGCTGTGTGGAGAAGGGGCAGATACATGGGGGCCAGGCTGGGGAGGGGGCAGAAGCTTACAGTTGACCTCCACTCTAGAGCCTCTGAACAGAGGTTCCTGTATTGCCCACACCCCTCCCTAGCACTGCTTTGACCTTTGGGGTGGGTCTCTTTGCAGCTGGACAGTGATGACCTCCTGGATGCCCCCGGGGAGGCCCAGAGTGCCTTCTATGAAGGTCCCGGGGTAAGTGGCCTCACCTGGTTGCCCTGACCGATATCACCAGTGGGAGGCAGGCCTGGTGGCCCAAGGGGAGACCTGGGCCCCAAGGAGTTTTAACCTGTGAGGGCAGGAGTGGTCATGGAGGACAGGGTGGGGGCAGAATGGGGCCCACTGTGTGGCCCAGTTCTGGGACACTAAGGTCATTGCAGGCTCCAGGAGCCCTAGAGGACACTCCATGGGAGATAGGGACTAGGGGATACCCAGCCATGGGGTGCATGAACTGAGGGGGCACTCCCTCACCTGAGGACCTCAGACCAGAGCAACCCGATCCTTTTCTACCACTGTGACTGCCACTCCCTGAGCACTTGCTTACAACTGGCTCTGTACAGCGATTGTCACTTAGTCCTTACGGCAGCTGTAAGACTAGATTCCAAGCATAATGTGATAAGGTTCAGAACACAGCAGTGGCACATCCTGTCATGTGATTATACCATAGACCCGGCAGCAGTGGCTGCCATGCATGTTGACTGTTATGTGGTCTTTGCTTTTGTCATAGCTGTAGAGTCCCTGGCTGTGCTCTGAGCCCTGTGCAGAAGAGGTGTCTTTCCACACCTGTCTTAGGGGTGCAGTTAGGGGCACCAAGTGCCCAGTCCTTGTAGGTTTGGGGCTGAATGAATGGAGCCCTATCCCAGCAGCCCCTATTCTCCTCTCTCCAGCCACCCTGTCTGGGCATGAGGCTGGGAGCAATGACTACCTCCCAGGGCTACTGTTGCCAACAGGAGTAGCAGTGAGTGTGACTGTGGCATGCTTCACACTTGTGCCACGGAGCAGGCCTTTCTGTGAGCCCTCTGTGTGGATCGAGATCTCCCCAACTTCAGGGCTTTTTATTTTTTTGAGAAAGGATCTTGCCATGTAGTTCAGGTTACCTGGAATTGTGTTGTAGCCCAGGATGGTCTTGAATGCAATGATCTTCCTGCCTCAGCCTTCAGAATGCTGGGATCACAGGTGTACAATACCATGCCTAGCACTGCTGTGATTTTTTTTTTTTTTTTTTTAACTGCTGTGGTTTTAAACCCAGCCTCAGTCTTTCACTGGAAAACTCTGGGGCCAGGCATATTTTAAAAATTGAGAATTTTTTAGATTCTGGAAAGGGTGTGAATTATTTTTATTGCCTTTTGCCAAGTCTACTGGGGAGACTGAGGTCAGATCAAGCAAGCTCCAGTCTGCACAGGTTTGATCCCACGTCCTGTCACTTTTAGATAGAAGGTTCCTTTCTGGACTTGACTGCCTTGGCACGAGGCATCTTTTGTGGTAGCTGTGGCCCAAGCCCATCTCTTGCCCAATCTCATCTCTTCCCTTCCTCCCACTTTGGCCTCTAGCTCCACGTGCAAGAAGCTTCTGGCAACCACCTGAACCCAGAGCCCAGCCAGCCGGCCCCCAGCGTGGACCTGGACTTCCTGGAAGATGACATCCTGGGCTCACCTGCCACGGCAGGTGGTGGTGGAGGGGGTGGGGGTGCCGACCAGCCCTGCGACATCCTTCAGCAGAGCCTGCAAGAGGCCAACATCACGGAGCAAACACTTGAGGCTGAGGCTGAGCTGGACCTGGGCCCCTTCCAGCTGCCTACCCTGCAGGCTGCAGATGGTGGGGCGGGCCCAACAGGCGCCTCGGGGGCAGCTGCTGTGGCCACGGGACCTCAAGCCCTCTTCCCAGGCGGTGCTGACCTGCTGGGGCTGCAGGCCCAGCCCACCGTGCTGACTCACCAGGCCCTGGTGCCACCCCAGGACATGGTCAACAAGGCCCTGAGTGTACAGCCCTTCCTGCAGCCTGTGGGCCTGGGCAATGTGACCCTGCAGCCCATCCCAGGTCTCCAGGGTCTGCCCAATGGTAGCCCTGGGGGTGCTACAGCTGCCACTCTTGGCCTGGCACCCATTCAGGTGGTGGGCCAGCCTGTTATGGCACTCAACCCACCCACTTCACAACTCTTGGCCAAGCAGGTGCCTGTTAGTGGCTACTTGGCCTCAGCAGCTGGCCCATCGGAGCCAGTGACACTGGCATCGGCCGGTGTGTCTCCCCAGGGGGCCGGCCTGGTCATCCAGAAGAGCCTTCCGGCCGCTGTGGCCACCACACTCAACGGGAACTCAGTATTTGCAGGAGCAGGGGCTGCCACTGTGGCAGCCAGCGGGGCACCCTCAGGACAGCCACTGGCAGTGGCCCCAGGCCTGGGCACATCACCACTGGTGCCAGCCCCCAATGTGATACTGCACCGCACACCCACGCCCATCCAGCCCAAGCCTGCCGGTGTGCTGCCCTCCAAGCTCTACCAGCTGACACCCAAGCCCTTCGCCCCTGCGGGCGCCACGCTCACCATCCAGGGTGAGCCAGGAGCACTCCCGCAGCAACCCAAGGCCCCGCAGAACCTGACTTTCATGGCAGCAGCAGGCAAGGCCGGCCAGAACGTGGTGCTCTCAGGCTTCCCAGCACCTGCCCTGCAGGCCAACGTGTTCAAGCAGCCCCCGGTCACCACTGCAGGCACAGTGCCACCTCAGCCCCCTGGGGCCCTGAGCAAGCCCATGAGTGTCCACCTGTTGAACCAGGGCAGCAGCATCGTCATCCCAGCGCAGCATGTGCTTCCAGGCCAGAACCAGTTCCTGCTGCCTGGTGCGCCTGCTGCCGTCCCACTGCCCCAGTCCCTCTCCGCCCTGCCAGCCAGTGTGGGCGGCCAGATCCTCACAGCCGCGGCCCCCCACCCAGGTGGACAGCTCATTGCCAACCCTATCCTGACCAACCAGAACCTGGCAGGCCCGCTGAGCCTGGGCCCAGTCCTGGCCCCCCACTCCGGGGCCCACAGTGCTGCACACATCCTCTCAGCTGCGCCCATCCAGGTGGGCCAGCCGGCGCTCTTCCAGATGCCTGTGTCACTGGCTGCGGGCAGCCTGCCCACACAGAGCCAGCCAGCCCCTACTGGCCCTGCTGCCACCACCACCGTCCTCCAGGGGGTCACCCTGCCTCCCAGTGCTGTGGCCATGCTCAATACCCCTGATGGGTTGGTGCAGCCAGCCACCCCCGCTGCAGCCACCGGGGAGGCCACGCCTGTCCTCGCAGTGCAGCCCGCTCCTTCCGTCCCCCCTGCGGTCAGCACGCCACTGCCTCTGGGCCTCCAGCAGCCACCACCACAGGCCCCGCAGGCCCCCACCCCACAGGCTGCTGCCCCGCCTCAGGCCACAACCCCCCAGCCCAGCCCGGTCCTGGCGTCCAGCCCAGAGAAGATCATCTTGGGGCAGCCGCCCTCTGCTTCGACCACGACCATCCTCACTCAGGACTCCTTGCAGATGTTCCTGCCCCAGGTACTGGGGCCGGCTGGCCAGGGGTGTAGGGAAGTGGGGGTGGGGGCAGAGGTGACACCGCAGAGAACCCAGACAGCTGGGGTGGGAGGGGCTGAGAGCATCTCAGAGGTGGCACAGGTGCTGTGTCCCCGGGAGGCCTACAGAGTGAGGGACCCAGCAGAACTGATGGGAAAGGTGAACAGAAAGGGTAAGAGAAGACCAGCTGACTGACAGGCAGGGAGAGGGAGGGCCTCGGGGAGGGCGTAAGACAGGAATGGCTGGGCAGGCAGGCACTGGGGTGCAGTTGAAGATGGCCGACCACTCAGAGCTCAAGTGCAGCAAGGTCCTTAGGTCTGAGCCTCTCAGGCACCCCATTCTCACCCCATTTTCTTGGGCCCGTGGAACATCAGTGGGATGTGGGCTCATGTGGGGGGGGGCAGGGGCCGTGAGGGTGGCCTTCTGACCCTATGCGGCCGCCCTTGCAGGAGAGGAGCCAGCCACCCCTCTCCACAGAAGGCCCCCACCTGTCTGTGCCAGCCTCGGTCATAGTCAGCGCCCCGCCTCCCGCCCAAGACCCAGCCCTGGTCACCCCCATCGCCAAAGGAGCTGGCCCCAGCCCTCCAGCCCCCGACAGCCAGGCTTCCCCGGCTCCAGCCCCCCAGGTAGACGGACTCCGGCAGCCGCAGTGCAGACCTGGCCTTGCCCCCGCCCCTGCCTCCTGCTCTCCTCCTCCTCTTCTTCCTCTCCTGCTCCTTCTCCTCCTCCTCCTCCTCCTTGCACTCTGTCCTGCCTGCCTCTGTTGCGCTGACTTGGGAAGTGGTGCTCTCCTTTGTCCCCTGTTCCTGCTACCATATTCCCGGAGTATCTCTTGACGATGATGATCATGGATGCGTGAGGCCAGGACCAGCTCCAGAGGGTCTCATGCTAGGCCAGGGATGCAAGAGGTGCACGGCAGAAGCCCGGCATGTGTGGTGAGCACACCTGGAATCCCAGCACTCGGGATGCTGAGGCAGGAGAATTGCTGTGAGTTTGAGGCTAGCTGGGCTATAGAGCAAGACTCTGTGTCCAAAAAACAAAAAAGAAGAAAATTCACGTGGTAGGAAATGAGTTATCTCTAAAGTTAGAGTTTTCACGCCATCCCAGTAGGAACAATGCAAAAGGTGGCAGTCACAAGGAGCATCCTCTCCTGACATGCAGTCCAATGAAGTCCCTCCTGATGCGGCTTCTGGTCTCTCTCCTGTGCGTGGACAAGCAGAACCTCTCTGGCTTCTGTTCCTTCCATTTGTACAAAACCTGCTCGTGTGGGCTGCTCCTGTTTGCCCTGCCTGTTGTTGGCAGCCACTCTTGCGCACTGGCCCATTGTTTGGTTGTGCCATGGTTTACTAGCGGGTCCTTGGTACTCTCTGCAGTCATTCCCAGCCCTTGGCTGTCTGTTATGAGCAAAACTGCAGAAAAAGGCTTTGTTATGTGCGTCATTGTGTATGATACTTTTTGGTGTTTTTGTTTTTTGATTTTTTTTGAAACAGGGTCTTGCTATGTAGCTCAAACTGGCCTTGAACTCACTCTTTAGCACAGATTGGCCCCCAAACTCAAGGCAATCCTCTTGCCTCAGCTTCCCAAGTCTAGGATTACAGGGGTGTGCCATCGCACCTGGCCCACGATAAGCTCTTTAAAACGAAGCTGCTGGGTTGAAGGAATACACATCTGTGTTTCTGACAGATGGTGCTGTTGCTGTGGAATATCAGTTAGTCTTACCTTTATCAGCAAGATATGATTTGTGTCTGTTTTCCCACATTGTTGTCAAGGGACTAAACTTGGTCCATCTGATAGGTGGGAAGTGGTACCTTGTGTTGATTGAATTTGTGTTTGTTTTATTGTGAGTGAGGCCAGGCAGGCTCCCATAGATGAAGAGCTGTGTGTAGATTTCGTCCCATGCAGCTGTCCGTTTCTGTCCTTTGCTGATTTAAAGTTCAAGTGGCCGGTGGTGTGTTTGTGGATTCTCAGGAGCTCTTTACAGAGTGAAAGAGGAAGCTTTTATCTCCTATCCACGATAGGCATGTGGGGAGAGAGCTGTCCTTGTACTCTGAGGGGTGGATCTGGGACTCATTCAGAAAGGACCATGTGGGTTGGTGGTAAAAACTAGGAGTGGCACTAGCCAGAGCGGGCAGTGATAGCCTAGGCTTTGGCCTTTAGGAGCCAGGGCTTCACTTTCAAACTCTGCTCTGACCACAGAACTGGAGCTGGGGCCAGGCACTCTGTAAGTGGAGACTGGAGGTGAGACAGACTGACCTGAATATGGGGTAAATGAGTTAAACCTGCCTAGCACAGGGTCAGTAATGATAAACATGTACTGATTGGGTTTTGTTTTGGCAGTATTAAGGATTGAACCCAGGGCCTTTGCACTGAGCTACATCAATGTCTTTTTTATAAATTTTGAGACACGATCTTGCTAAGTTGCCCAGGCTTGGTTTGAACTTGAGTACCTCCTGCCTCAGGCTCCCAGAGTGCTGTATTACAGCTGGACGCCACCACACCCAATTTGGTGGTGTTGTTTCTAACTGTTATGACGGGAAGGACATGGGACTAAGTCCTGAGTTGCTAGGATGGTGCCAGATCTTTGGAGGGGGTAGGTTATGGAGGGGCTGGGAACAGGGCAGTAGCCCCTAGCCTCAGCCTGCAGTTGGAGATGCTGCTTTTGGTCCCCAGCTCATGACTTCCTCTCTCAGCTGCCTGTCGTCAGCTATGGCATGGGGATGTGTGTCTCTGCAAGTGAGTGTCTGTCTGTTCCCTTAGTGACCTCGCCTTGTTGTACATCAACAGATACTGTGCCACGTTCTCCAGGGTGACCAGCCACCCCTTGACCCAGTGTGGCCTTCTGTCTAGGATTGGGGCTTTCACTTCTAAAAACACCTGTCCTCCCAGCACTGTGGGGGGCTGAGGCAGGGGGTGGCAAGTTTAAGCCCAGCCTGGATGAATTAGCAAGATTCTGTCTCAAAATAAAATATGCAAAAGGACAGGGAATGTAGCTCAGTGGAGAGGCTCTGGGTTCAGTCCCCAGCGCCAAAACCCCACCCTTAGCCAATCCCAGACAAGCAGGCAGAGCAGCCCTTCATCCCCAGAGCAGCTGGGCCTGTGCCCTTCGTGTGGGGGTCCTGTAGACTGTCTCGGTGGTCCCACGATGGTGGTAGCCCCAGAAGGGCAGGGATGGCCAGGTAGCAGGTTCTGGGCAAAGGCAGCTTGAGGGCACGGCGACAGAATAGCCTGTGTGAAAACTACTGTTCTAGGAAATGCAGTAGGACCCCTACTATGTGACCCCTGAACCCAGACAGATAGGCTGGGGGGGGGGGTGCATGTGTGTGCATGTGCACACAGCTGAATGAGTGGACTGTGTCGTTCCACTCACCTTACCTGGCGTGTTTAATACCCGCCTTGCCATCCTCACCGCAACCCTGCATGAGAGTTCTGTTCCATGTCACCATCCCAGACACCTATGAGTGTCTGTGTCACCAAAACAAAAGTTTCACATAGTGATACAACCACCAGTGCTCTGTGTGCTGCACACCCATATTTTTATTCTGTGTTTGGTGGCGTTGTTTTGGCAGTGCAGCCTTCGCATTGAGCTACATCCCCGACCCTCTTTACTCTGTGCTTTGAGATGAGTCTCACCAAGATGCTGAGCTTCCCCAGTCTGGGATGGAACTTGTGATTGTCCTGCCTTAGCCTCCCAGAGTCCTTATAGGTATGCGACAGTGCACCCGGCCATTTCTTTTTATTTATTTATTTGATACCGGGGATTGAACTCATGACCTCATGCAATACCTGGCCATTTCCAATGGGGCACCCACCTGCAGCTGGCAAACCAGTCTGGAGGGTTGTGGTGTGGGAGCAAGGAGGGGACTCAGGGAGCCCAGCTCCACTGCTTAGGGGATTGTGACTTCAGGTGCTGCCTCTGTGCCTCAGTTTCCTAACCCGTGGGGTATCAGTGACAACCACAGCAGCTACTTTATAGTCTCAAGGCTTAAGTGAACTTGTATGATGCCCTCAGGTCAGGATTGGGCATGTGAAGGGCTCTGTGGTGAAAGTAGCCAGGCAAACTTTTCTTGTTATTTATTTTCCTGGCAAACTTTTACACCATGGCAGTAGTATGTGGGGGCTTGTCTCATCATCCTGCAGAGGCAGCGTGGGCCATGTGAGAACAAATGGATTGGAAGTGTTTAAGAAAACTTAACTTAGAAACACTGACTTTTGGAATTCCATAGAATTTTCACAAATCGCAAATTATTCTTTGGAATGTCCCCCCTTGTCATTTAACAGTATAAGACACGCTTACCTCTGGGGCCCTGTAGAGTGGTAGACTATGGTGCATAGCAGGCCAGGTTTGCCTGTGGGCTGTCCTTTGCCTTTTCATTTTGGTGTCTTTCTTAGATTTTGCTGGGTAGTGGGTCCTTTGGGTCTGCCAGAATTGATTCCAGAACCCCTGCACAGGTACCAAAAACGTGCGGATGCCCAAGTCCCTGTTAAAAATGGCATAGTATTTCTCTCTCTTTTTTAATGGTGTTGATGTGGAAGCTGGGGGCTCTGCATGGTAAGCAAGCACTCCACGGAACCGCACTGAGTCCCAGTGGCACAGTACATGTATGTAACCCTCACTTTCTCCAAGGCTCAAGTCATAGCCCGGCAGCACACAGGAGGCTAAGGCAGGATGATTGCCAAGAGTTTGAGGCCAGCCAGAGCTCCATAGTGAGTTCAAAGGCAGCCTGCACTACATAGCTGGAATAGAAAAAAACTAACATAGGCTGGAGGTTTAGCTCAGTGGCAAAGCGCATGCCTTGCAAGCACAAGGTTGTAAGTTCGATCCCCAGTACCAAAACAAAAAAAAAAATCAAAAAAACTAACACAACATAAACACTAGGTAAGTAGCTGTTATATTCGATTATTTAGGGAATAACAACAAGGAAAATGTGTGTGAACATTTAGTACAGGCACAACTCTTTTTTTGTTTTTGAGACAGGGTCCTGCCAAGTAGTGTGGGCTGGCCTTGAACTCACTGTGGAGCCCAGGCTGGCCTCAAACTTGTGGCAATCCTCCTGCCTCAGCTTCCCAAGTGGTAGGATTATAGGAGTGCACCAACATGTCTGGCAGCACATTTTAATTTTTAATTCTCCCTCTCCCATCTCCTTGGACGCATTTTTTTTTGGGGGGGGGGTACATGTTTGTAGCACACAGTGGTCACATTCCTCATAGGAATAGGGAATATTTTCAACTTTGAGGCAAGGTCTCCTCTGTATTTCTCCCACCTATGGCAGACTGAGGATGTGGAGCCCAGGTATGCAGGGCCCACCTCACACACTGTGGTGCGCTGACTCAGTCTCCTCTGCCTGACCACTTAAGGTGGCATCTCAGAGGGGAAGCTCCTTCTGCAGGAGCCGGAAGGCAGCCCACTGGGAGTGTTTTCTGGAGGGACTCCGGCTCCCGCTGCCCCTACACCACATCGGGGCCAGTGCAGCATGGAGAGCTCTCTCACCCCTGCATTTCTAAGTGTGGGTAAAGTGGAGCATTTGCCATGTATGTGTGGGTGAGGGAAACCTCTTAGTAAACAGATGTTGCAGTGCTTTGTTTTGTTGTGTGATTGGGCTGGGAATGTTGCTCAGTGGTAGAGCGCTTACGTAGAATGAGGCACGTGTCCGTGAGGCCCTGTGTTCAGCTCTGGTCCCGAAAAGATTATAAAAGTCAATTTTGCTCATGTGAAGAATTTATTAATTTTAGTATTTTTGGTACTGGGGATCAAACTCATGACCTTGTGCTTGCCAGGGCAGGCGCTTATGCTGCTAAGCTAAATCCCTGACCCTGTGAGAAGAATTTAGAAAACAGAAAAGGGCAAAGGAGAAAACCTAAGCACCTGTAATGCCACCATGTGGATGCAGTGGGTAGTATTTTGGTTTGGAGATTTCATTTGGCCCCACCTCCACCCATTTGTAATGTGTTCAGGCCTTGTATGGTGGTTCATCCCTGAAATCTCAACATTTTGGAGGCTGAGGCAGGAGGATCACCAGGAGTTCAAGGCCAGCCTGAACTACATAGTAAGACCCTGTCTCAAATGAAAAAAAAAAAAAAGGTGTTTGGAAGTTTAGGAAAAAATATCCCACCCTATCCCGTCATTCCCAGCCCAGTACTCCCTTGTTCCCAGGTAACCACAAAAACTCAGTTTTGTTGTTGTTTTTTGAGATAAGATCTCACTCACTAGCCCAGACTGGCCTGTAACTCATAGTTTTCATGCTGCAGCCTCCCAGGTGCTGGGGTTACGGGTGTGCGCCACCACACCTCGCTAATAACTTATTTTATTTTTAAGTCTTTCCAGTTCTGGTTGCATGTGAGCAACCTATTGCAAAGAACAGTTTACATTTCTCTCGCGTGTGTTCCCAAAAGTCTGCACATTATCCCCTGGGCAACTCACCAAAAGAGCTTGACTTCCTTGGCACCTCGTGTGTGTCACTGTGATCATTTCCCCAGTAAACACTACCAAGGCACATTAGGCCCCTTCTAGGCGTTTGGTAGCCACATGGAGCTGCAGGAGGCTCTTCAGTCACTAAGTTGCCCAGGCTGGCCTGAACTGGTGACCTATTCCCATAATCCTCCTGAGTAGCTTCGATTACAGGTGCCACCACACCCACTCACCTGCCTTTACATTGGCAAGCCGGGACTGTAACCCAGCCAGTCCCAACCATTCCCTACATGTGCAGAGGTGTTCACCTGCTCCCTTCCTGACAACCCATTTGCTGGGTCACCGCTAGTCTCCTTGTGTAAAACTGGGTGGCCGCTGCTGAACTGCAGTCATTGGTCCAGTGCAGACCCTGGGGGAAAACAGACACAGGTGCCGTTACTAAACATTCAGTGAGTTCCAAGTGGGACAGGTTACACTGTGGTACTCTAGGGCTTGTGGTGTGCGTTTCTCTAGAGATGAATTAGCTGGAACATCTCTTGAAATGCTAGAGCCTTTCGTGTTTCCTTTTCTGTGCACCGCCTCACCGTGTCCTTTGTCCCATTTTTCTCATCTGCTTGTTACTTTTAGTGATTTCTAGATTCTCTGCGTATGTGCAAGAGTTGAGCTTTGTGTGTTCTCTGAATGATAGATCTTTCCAGCAGTGTATCATTTTTGCTGCAGATATGTTTGTGGACCATGTATGTGGTACTGGGCCTTGAAGCCAGAGCCTTCACACTGAGCTACATTTTTTTTTTTTATTTTTAATTTTGACTTAAATTATTGGTAAATTGCCCAGTTGGGCTCAAACTTACAATCTTCCTGTCTCAGGCTCCCAGAGTGCTGGGTTTATAAGCTACCAAGCCCAGGTAATCTGCTTTTTTTTTGGTCTGTTTTGAGGCAGGGTTTCACTATATGGTTCAGGCTGGCCTTGAACTCACAACAGTCCTCCTGCCTCAGCCTCCTGAGTGCTGGGATTACAGGGGTACACCACCACTCCTAGCTTTATTTGCATTTTTAATGAGAATGACAAACATTTTAAATTTTGTCTTAGTGGCCTAAGTGCCTGCCTGGCAAGCTCAAGGTCCTGAGTTCAATTCCCATACCAATTTTTTGTTGTTTTATATTTTAGTTTCTTTGTTTATTCTTGAGACAGTGTCTTGATATACAGCTCAGGTTGGCCTTAAACTCACTTTGTAGCCCAGGCTGGCCTCAAACTCAGCGATTCTCTTTCCTCGGCCTCCCGAGTGCTGGGATTACCGGCACATGCCACCAAGCCCCGGCTTTATCTGCATTTTCTCCCAAGTGCTGAGCAAAAACCTGACTTTAAAAAGCCCAACAGCTAAAAGTTTGCATTATTCTTTTTGTGTGTGTGTGGGTACTGGGAATCGAATTCAGGACCTCCGGATTGCCAGGCAGGTGCTACATCACTGAGCTAAAGCTCTGGCCCCTGCATTATCCTTAACTCTCACTCTCTGTGTAGTTTTTTCCTGTGACTCTTGGGACTAATTTGAAGCTGTCATGAGTCTCTACTCCTTAATATTTTAGCGCAGTATTTTCTCCCCGGGGAAACAAGGACATTCTCTTACTGTATGTGGAGCCAACAGACTGTTACCAAAGTCAGCAGGTTTTCCCTGGGTGCCACTCATACCCTGGCACAGCACCCCTGCCCTGCCTCACCCGCTTGCCCGGGAAGGTGTTCCGGGAAGAGCGGCGCGCAGGTGCGCTGGCTCTCTGGTTCAGCCGTGTTCACAGTGAGCCTGGGGCTGTCCCCCTTTGTCCCTGTTCTGAATTTTTCCACAGTGGATTTCCCGAAAGCAAGTGGCTCCCACAGGCGAAACACACCCTTCACTTCCTTTTTCTCTTCTTCACTCTTGAAAAATTTATTCTTCGTGTTAAGGGTTAACAAGGTTAAAAAAAGGCTTTAGACGGCCTGGGGATGCGGCTCAGTGGCCTAGGCGCTGGGTGTGAGCGCCAGCAGCACACACCACACACGTATGCACATGCTTACAGGTCAGCCGCTGCCCTGCTCTGACCTGTAGGCTCCTGGGCTCCAGACCTGCGCCCACAGTGTTCTTTACTACAGGTTGGGGCACCCAAGGCCTAGGGTCCCATCCCACACAAGCCCTGTGACATACCCTGGCCACACCGCTCTGGAGGTAGCCCAGGACGATTGCCCACACTGGAGGCCCCGGGCAGCCTCTTGCACTCCTCACATGCTCTGTAGCAGGCAGTGCCCCCCCCCCGGGGAGGGGGAGCCCTGGGTCCACTACGTGGTCAGGCCACTTCCCTGAGCTCCAGGCTTTAGGCTTTATTCTCCAGAAGCGATTCAAGGTTGGGCTTGGAGGAGTCTCTGTTTCCTGCAAAGCTAGTGACTCTTGAGAGGGTGAACACTGGGGACCCTCTGAGCCGGGAGGCTGAGCTGGGACCTCGCGTCAGCCTTTGCACCTGGCCAGTCGCTGGAGGCCTGTGGGTGACAGGCGTGAGCAGAGCCTCCTTCCGCTGCCGTCCTCCCTGGCTGGAGCCGGATGGCTCCTGGGGCTCCCTGGCTTCTGCTTCTTGGCTGGGCTCCCTCTCAGGGCGGCCGCGTGCAGCCTTCAGGGAGCCCTGTGCACACCGTTGGCTCTCCGTGGTTCCACAGGGGCTGCACGGTTTCCTTTTGGGCAGCAGAGTCCAGAGGGCTCAGGGGCACAAGCTGGCCCTAGGTTACCCCCGCGCCGACATCTAGCCCCCACCCCGCCGCCGCCATTCGCCATTCCTGCCTCAGCTCCCAGCCGTGCTGGTGTCTGTCTGCCTCCACCTGGCTAGAGTGGGGCTGCTGCTCCCCCTCACTCTGCTCGCTGCTGCTCCCCCGCAACCCGCGGCTGCCGCCCGCTTCCCGCTGCTGCCCCACCCACAGGGCTCCCCTTTGTTGGAGGTGGGGGTGGGGTGTAAGGGGGCCTAAGGGCAGGTTGGGCAGAGACACCAGTGGTGGGGTGGGGTGCGGTGGGTTGATGGGAGGGGAAGGGGTGGCCTGATGGGGTCTCCGAGGACACAGGTAGGCACTGAGTGGGGGTGCGGTGCGGTTCGGGTGGGGGTGGCAGCGGGAGCCAAAGCTGGTTCTGACCCCGCCCCTTCCCTCTCCCTCCTCCCCCCGCCCAGATCCCAGCAGCGGCTCCACTGAAGGGCCCCGGCCCCTCCTCATCCCCATCACTACCTCACCAGGCCCCACTGGGAGACAGCCCCCACCTGCCCTCCCCGCACCCCACCAGGCCCCCTTCCCGTCCACCTTCCCGCCCCCACTCCCGACCTCCGTCCCAGCCCCAGAGCCTGTCCCGCCCACCCTCGGAGCCGGCCTTGCACCCCTGCCCTCCACCCCAGCCACCCCCCACTCTGCCTAGTATCTTTGTCATCCAGAACCAGCTAGGCGTCCCCCCTCCCCCCAGCGCCCCTGCTCCCTCAGCCCCAGGCCCACCCCAGCCTCCATTGCGCCCCTCATCCCAGCCTCCTGAAGGCCCACTGCCCCCGGCCTCCCACCTCCCTCCGGCCTCCACCTCCTCTGTAGTGGCCTCCTCCTCCGACACACCCACCAGGTTGCCAGCCCCTGCGTCTTCCGACTTCCAACTCCAGTATCCGCCGGGCCAGGGGCCCCACAAGTCCCCTACCCCCCCGCCGACCCTCCATATGGTCCCTGAGCCCGCGGCTCCCCCCCCACCGCCTCCTCGGACCTTCCAGATGGTGACCACCCCATTCCCAGCGCTGCCCCAGCCGAAGGCTCTGCTGGAGAGATTTCACCAGGTAATCGGTGCAGGGACGGCCACTACCTCCCAGCCCCCATCCCGTCTGGCCCTGGTGCACCCGGCCTGTGCCCCCCACCCCTCAGTCACTTGTCCCTCCTCAGGTGCAGTCCGGAATCATCCTCCAGAACAAGACCTCGGGAGCCCCACAGACCTCCACCAGCCTGGTGCCCCTAGCCAACCCCACTGCCTCAGTGCTGGTCAGTGGGCCAGCCCCATCTGGAACCCCTGCCAGTTCCAGCCATCCCCCAGCCCCGGCAGCCATGGCCACTGCAGGTAGGGAAGCACCATTCAGGAGATGTGGAGTTAGGAGGGATGGGCTGGGCAGAGCTTTGGGATACTGGAGCCCGGCATCACAGGCAGGTGGAAGGGGCTGGGCTGGTTGCCCAGGTCAGAGGTGACCAGGGCTGGAGTGGGACAGGAAGCTCACTGCTGAGTTGGGCCCCAAGCCAGTGACCCCGGGCCTGTCTTCCCCATCTCACACAGGCCTCCCTGCTCTGCTTCCCGCCGAGGGCAAAGCTTTTCCCAGCAACCTCCCAACCTTGAGTGTGGCCAAGGCCTCAGCGCCCGGGCCAGTGAAGTCCTCAGGGTTGCAGGTGAGGTCCCTTGAGTATGGCTGGGGACAGGGGCAGCATGACTCAGGACAGCCACACAGGCACAGGAAGGCCATCGGGGCCTAGAGAGTAAACTCCAGGACAGCAGGACGGAGCACAAAGGGCGAGAGACTGGTGTGCTGCCCAGGCAGGAGGAGGACAGTGCTGCTGCTCCCAGGCAGTGGCCCAGGACAGGGAAGTGGGAGTGGGTGAACCCTGGGACAGCCGTGGGAGCAGAGGGGAACACCTGAGACAGAGGAAAGAAAAAGAGGAAAATACGTGGGCAGAGTGAGGGGGTTTGGTGGGGAGAGACCCTGCAGATTCCAAGGGTGGACAGAGCCTGTCTCAGTCTTGTGTCTCCTCCCCAGTACGAGGGCAAGCTGAGTGGCCTGAAGAAACCCCCTGCACTGCAGCCCAGCAAGGAGGCCTGGTGAGTGGCTGTGCCTCCCCTGTACCCCGCCTCACACCTTTCCGAGAGACCCCCTCTGCAAATGCCCATCCCCACTGGCAGCGTGCCTTCACCTGGGTGCAGTGGTGCATGCTATGATCCCACCACTGTGGAGGCCGAGGCAGGAGGATTCAGAGTTCAAGGGCAACTTGGGCTACATAATGAGATTCTATCTTGAGAAAGAGAGAGAATGGAGTGGTAACAGTGGTCCCAGGGTGGTGGGGACCTTGTCGGGCTGTGGACTTCAGGAGGGCAGCAATTCCATCTTATGCCAGTAGCAACCTCCTGGGCCCCTCAGGAGCAGCTGTTTGGGAGCTAGGTGGGTCCGGGTGAGGGAACTGGGGATGTTTTGGCAGGCAGGTACACTAACAGAGTGTGGTTTTGGGGGTCTGGTGATGGCTGGGTGTAGGGGGTCAGAATGGCCAGGTTCCATTCTGGGTAGGTGGCAGGTGTAGGGATCCAGTGTAGGGACACGACACAGCAGTTAGCTAGACAGACCTGGTCCCTCCCCGTGAAGGCTGCAGGTCACCAGGAAAGGGTAAAGAAGGGGCAGTCTCATCAAAGGGAAGCTGTAGTCCTGGCAACCAGAGACAGTGGCCCTTTGGTTGCAAGGTACAGAAAATGAGGCCCGCAGGTTCCCAGACTCTCGCCAAACTCTGTGTCTTCCTCCTCATGTGCTCTGGATAGAGGGAGTGGCCCCACCTCACCTTTCCAGGCCTGTTTCCTCTACAGTGAAATGAGGCCCTGGTAGCTCCCACACCAGTCCCGAGGAATATCCGGTTAGGGCTGGGGCTGGAGACAACTTCTCTCCCCTCACCCCACTTGCCTGTGGTCTCACCTTGTCCCGCCCACAGCTTCCTGGAGCATTTGCACAAACATCAGGGCTCTGTCCTCCACCCCGACTACAAGACAGCCTTCCCCTCCTTCGAGGACGCCGTGCACCGCCTCCTGCCCTACCACGTCTACCAGGGCACCCTTCCCTCCCCCAGCGACTACCACAAAGGTGAGGCCTCCCCACCCAGCTCAGAGACCAGCTCGTGGAGATCGCCGAGCTCCTGTACTGCAGCCGCCACCCCAACCCCTGGGCTTGGGGTACACGGGCAGTGTGCAGCCCCCTAACATCCTGGCTCTGCACCCCTTCTCTTCCTGGCAGTGGATGAAGAATTTGAGACGGTCTCCACGCAGCTGCTGAAACGCACCCATGCCATGCTCAATAAGTACCGCTTGTTGCTCCTGGAGGAGTCCCGGGTAGGGCCCACATGCCATCTTGGCCCTCTTTGCCAGAAAGGAGGTTGGGAGGGACACAAACCATCACATCGTAGGCAAAGTCGGGGCTGGGTGCGGTGGTTTGTGTCTGTCAGCCTAGCACTCGACCAAGATGAGGCAGGATGATCGCAAGTTAAAGCCAAGCCTGAGCAATGTGACTTAGTGACAGCTGTCTAAAAGGCGCCCTCTGTCACCACCACCTCCCTCCTTGCCCCTTGACTGGGGATCTTCTCTTCTCCCTCCAGAGGGTGAGCCCCTCAGCGGAGATGGTGATGATAGACCGAATGTTCATTCAGGAGGAGAAGACCACCCTTGCCTTGGATAAACAGCTGGCCAAGGAGAAGCCCGGTGAGCGGGGCTGGGCGGGACATTGCTTTGCACTCCATGGCTGTAGGCTGCACCACCTGGCGCACCACTAGGCGGCGCCTGAGCCCACTGCCTGGCACGCTTGAGGGCCACCGTTTTCTTGCACATGCGCAGCTGTCTCTCCCCCATAGAGGCTGGGGCATGTGAGCCAAGCACCTGGGTTGAAGAATGTACGGTGGCCCCATCCACTCCTTAGCCTGTGGAGCACTGATTTTGCCTTAAAGTGTGCACCTTGAGAGTCACACAAACTTCACTCTAGTCTGCAGGGAAAAGTACAGCCAAACCCAAAATACCGTCTTAGCCTGTGCCCGTATTCATGCCAGCTGCCCCCATTGCTTCCCTGAGAGAAGCCTTCCTGTTTTTCTCTAGACTCCTGCCTGCCTTCTTCTTGGTCCTTGAACCCCACACCTGGGAATTATTATTTTCATTGCTGGTTATTAGTACCAAAAGGAGAAAAAGATGTGAGGAGTAGCCATGCCCATGGTGAAGGGGCATTTTTGTAGGGCAAAGACGAAGGACCCCTGGGTCACATCCTAGCTCTGCCACTTGGCTTTGTGATCTTGGTGAATTTCTTGACCTCTCTGTGCCTCTTCTATCCTCTGGAGGGTGGAGATTGTGGGCACAGTGTATGATCCCTTATCTGCAAGCTTCTCTTGGCCCCTAGAGGCACTGGGAAGCACCTGTGGGTGTTTCTGCCTCAGGGCAGAGGGCCACCCAAAGCAGGAGACAGGTGAGGCCGCAGGTGCTGCCTGCCTGTTCAGACCAGGCTTTCTGCCAGGAGAAACCCCTCACTTAACCTGTGTGTAGAGCCACTGCTCTCCTCAGAGGCGTAAGTGCTGACTGCCTTCACTGTGCCTTGGCCTCTGGTCCCGTGCCACCTCTGAGCATTAAATGGGGCCAGCCGGACTGAGGACCTGCACTTTTTGTTTTACGTTTAACTTCAGGAGGGTTTGGGGATTGCTGATCAACGGTCAGACTCGAGCTGGGCTTGGGGGCAGACAGATGCAATCCCAGTACCCAGGAGGGTATGGTAGGAGGATTTCAGCAAGCATAGCAAGATCCCGCCTCAAAAAAGTCAAAATAAAGTCCGGAATGAAAAAGGGCTGGCTACCTAGCTCAGGGCGAAGGCCCGGCGTTGAAGCTGCAGCGCTGTACAGCCTGCTGCAGTAGCAGCAGCAGCACAGGTGTGAGTGTGTGCGTCTCGCCCCGCAGCCTGTCCTCCCAGCCCTAACCCCGTGGGTTTGCTCTGTCTCCGGCTTTGCAGACGAGTACGTGTCTTCCTCACGCTCCCTCGGCCTGCCTGCGACAGTGGCCTCTTCCGAGGGCCCCCGGCCACCTGGCCACGGCCATGGCCACGGCCCCGCGCCACCCCCAGCCCCCGGTGTCCCAGCACCTGCGCATCCGCCCACCAAGCTCGTGATCCGGCACGGCGGGGCTGGTGGCTCCCCGTCGGTGACCTGGGCGCGTGCCTCGTCCGCGACGCTGTCATCCCCATCATTGTCGTCATCGTCCGCTGCCTCCTCCCTGGACGCTGACGAGGACGGCCCAATGCCCTCGCGCAACCGGCCGCCCATCAAGACGTATGAGGCGCGCAGCCGCATTGGGCTGAAGCTGAAGATCAAGCAGGAGGCCGGGTTCAGCAAGGTGGTGCACAACACTGCGCTGGATCCCGTGCATCAGCCCCCGCCTGCGGCGGGCCAGGTCAACGGCACGACTGAGCGCGCACCCCCTGCCGCCGAGCGCAAAGCGCCAGGACCGGGCTCAGGCTCGGGACCCGGACCTGGACCTGGGCCGGGGCCAGGCTCGGGACCTGGGCCAGGGCCAGGGCCAGGTGCGCACTGCCCACGTCTGCCTCTGCGCAAGACCTATCGTGAGAACGTGGGCGTGCGCGCGGACGAGGCCACCAGCGGGCTCATCCGGGAGCTGGCGGCCGTGGAGGACGAGCTGTACCAGCGCCTGCGGAAGGCGGCGCCCACCGAGCCCACGGCCCCCGGTGCCCCTGCTGCTGACCCTGGCTGGGACGCAGTGACCGCACCCCCCACCAAGCGGCGCAAGTCCGAGTCTCCAGACATGGACCAGGCCAGTTTCTCCAGCGACAGCCCGCAGGACGACGCACTTACGGAGCACCTGCAGAGCGCCATTGACAGCATTTTGAATTTGCAGCAGCCACCAGGCCGGCCGGGCCCGCACCCCGCGCCGCCCGCACCCACGTCCCCGCAGCCCCGGCACAGGCCTGAGGCCTTCCCGCCCTCCAGCCACAACGGAGGCCTGGGCCCCGGCAGGACGTTGAACAGATAACACTTGGCCTGCCATCCGCTCTGCCCTGGGGACAGCTGGGGCCACCTTCCCCAGGATACCACTCCGGGGACCCCACAGTCCTTCTTGCCTAAATTATTTGAGTCACAAAGGCCTCCTCCCCTACCTCCACTCCCTCCAGGAGGGTTTTTGAGGGGTCCAATGGGGCACGTGGGTTAGGAGAGGGGCTGTCACAAGCAAGTGTCCCCTCACCACTGAAGGAGGGCCTTTCTGGTGTGTCGCTCTTCCCATTTCCGGCTGCAGCCTGCCTTCTGCCGGGGGTGGGGCACCAGGTGTTCCCACTGCCCGGGCCCAGGCACCGGCCTTGTTTGTGTGGCATCAGGATCATGGTCAGGGGTGCTGGGGGGAGGGTCCCGTTAGACCCCCCAGCCTCCTGGCCGGGGCTGTAAACCAAACCCATGGCAGGGTGGGAGCCAAGTCCCAGACCACCTACGTCACATCGGCGCAGGCGCTGCCCAGCTGTGCCCGTGTGTCTCCATGTGCGTATGAGTGTGTGAGTGTGTGCGTGCGTGTGTGTTGCAAGCAAGAGAGATCCGGGACGCTCAGTCCTTCCTTCCACTTGGAAACCCCAGCCACAGGCCCGGGTCTTCCTCCGCCCCGTCCAGCCGTCTTCCCTCTCCTTCCAGCCTCCCGCGCCACGTTTTGAAATCTCGGAGACAAAACTAGTACTGTAAGATAAATTTTTTTGTACTGTATTTATTGTGTATAATGATTTTTTAAAAGGAGAATTCTGTACATTTAGAACTCTTGTAAATTAAAAAACCAATCCTTTTTTTAAAACTGTACTTGTGCCCCTTCGGTCCCTTGCTTTGGGGGGCTGGGGAGAGGTGTTGAAGTTGGGGGTGACTCTGAGGCTTGTTCGGGATAGGGCTGAGGGGGTCGCTGGATGAGCGCCTGCTGGATTCTGGGTGTGCTCTGCCCCAGCCTTGCCCGGGTGCGTGAGCAAGATAAGCATCCCTGCTGGGCAGCAGCTACAACTGCCCTCGGCCAGCGCCAGCGTCTAACAGCAAGTCTGCCTGTCACCTTGCTTTATGTGTAAGTCTTTTTCAGTGTATGCAGCTGACCCTCCATACTCCAGGGTCCCACATGTATGGGTTCAACTAATCAGGGACAGGAAATAATTTTTTAAAAATTGCATCTGTACTGAATGTTTATAGATTTCTTTATCATCGTCTCCTAAATGATCCAACGTGACAAGTATTTACATAGTGTTAGTATGATAAAGTATACAGGGCCCAGGTGCTGTGATTGCAGCACCCTGGGAGGCTGAGGCAGGAGGATGGCAAGCTTGGGCCCAGCCTTGGCAACAGACCATGATGTGTGTATGTCGTAGGTAAATACTGTGCCATTACATAAGGGACGTGAGCCTTTGGGGATGTCAGTATGGACAGGGGTCCTGGAGTCATCCCCAAAGGGTAACCGGGGACAGCTGTCCCAACCAGCACTGAGCTCCCAGCCACCAGCAGCGCCCAGGCTGGGACAGAGCCCATTCCCCTCCGCCCCCCCAGCCCCAGTCACTTTGAAGCGTGGTGCTCAGGACATGGACAGCACTTAGCCCGGTGCTCCTGGCTTTTTAATAGCGACTTGCCGGTGCAGAGCACGGAAATGACACAATGGTCGACATGGAGCACTGGAGGGAAGGTGCAAAGAAACCTGGACAAAGAAATGCAGGCACGGGGCAGCTGCGAAGCCTGATGAATGTGTGCAGCGCTGGACCACACAGAAAGGAGATTTAAGCTGAACGTTGCGGTGCACGACTGTCATCCAGCACTAGGGAGGCTGAGGCAGGAGGATTAGTGTAAGTTCGAGAGGGAATACAAGGGAAAATCATCCCCTCGGGCTGCTGTAATAAAATACCACAAGCTAGATGGCTTCAAACAACGGGCGTTTATTCTCAAGCCAGCTGCAGGTCTCTTCTGCGTGAGTTACAAAACCTGGCCCCTTTTCGTAAACCCCAGTTTTGGAAAGCAAAAGTGTGGGCTGACTTCCACCCCCTCTCGCCCATTCTGTGAGTGACTTGTGCGGTGAACGATCGGCTCAAGTGCACTTGACTTTCTTGGAATTAGGCATGAAAGTGAGGGCTCTGTGAGGAGGTGACGTGCGAGCTTAGGCATGTAGGAAAAGAGAGGGGTACGGGGGTGTCCGGAAGAAAGGCTTGGCTTCTTGGGCTTGGAGGGGACAGCGGTGCAAAGACCGGCTGTATGGAGTGCTGAGGGACGGGAGGTTGCTGGCGCCCCCTGCCGGTTGGCAGGACAAGGCCAGAGCAGAACGGAGCTCACGAGGGGCGAACCACGCTGGCCCAGGGTGGCACAGGCGCAGGGAGCTGGGCACCGTTTCCCTGCAGGTCGGCGGTCTGTTCGTGGGTGAACGCGGATACGTTCGGATACCTCCGGGGTGGCCGTGCTCCTCCCAGCTCTAGAGCTGCGCTCCCACGTGCACAGCCGCGCCCCTCAGGTCCCAGCCCTGCGTGTCCCCAGTGAAGGTCGCCTGGGATTCTGTGCGCATGGCCCGGTATGGCTGGCCTCAGCCAGAGCTGTGGGGACCCGGACCCCTGGAGATAACTTGTGGGTCAGTGGTAACACCTGTGTGGAAGTTGATGGGCCATCTTTGTTTGTTTTGGAGTTTTGAGTCAGGGTCTCACTGTGATGTTTAGGCTGGCACTGAACTCACTGCGATCCTCCTGCCTCAGCCTCCCAAAGTTCTAGGATTACACGGGTGTGTCACCACGCCTGGCTCCATTGTCAGTGTTTTCAGGGTTCTATGCAGTGGCGATAAGCAGCACATGCACACAATTGGGCGGCCACTACCACCTTGATCACTGCCACACTCGGAACCTCTGTCCCCCTTCAGCAGCAACCTTCACCCCACCAGCCCTGCCGTCACCCGCCATGCTTTTGTCTCTGAGCCCCACAGCCTCTGATGGCTGCGTGCTGGCGGAGTCACTCTGCTGCTCTTTTCGTGCTGCGTTGTTTCATTCAGCATGGTGTCTTTGAGGTCTATGCAGGTGCCTGTCACATTCCCTCCTTCCAGGTTTGACGAGTGGGGACCGAGGGAGCCAAGGACAAAAAAGCTAGCTGGTTCCGTCCGTAGGACAGAAAGCAAAGCAAAACAACCAACCGGATGACCGGGCCATGGCTCAGGGCTGGCTACTTGCCTAGCAGGCATGAGCTCATCCCCCACAACTCAAAAATTAATGCATAAATTAATTAAAAGAAAAAGTGTGCAATTCAGTGGTTTGTTTGTGTGTGTTCACAAAGGTGTGCGACCGTCACCATCTGCTTTAGAACATTTTCACCACCCCAGTGATGGACACTGGTGCTTTCAACTGATTAGATATTTCCCATGTAAGTATTAAATCTTTTTTTTTTGTCTTTTTCTTGTTTATCGGTACCAGGGATGGAACTCACAACCACACACTTGGAAGGCAGGCACTTATGCTGCTGAGCTAAATCCCCAGCCCCAATATTAAATCTTTTTTAAAAAAATAAATTCAAATATTTGTACCATGAGTATTTATTTTCGGGTTGGGTTGTAGCTCAATGGCAAAGCATTCACCAAGTTGCACCAGGCACTGGGTGACAACAGTGAGCAAGTCAGGCAAAATTTCTGTCTGGCACACGCCTGTTAGCCCGGTACTCAGGCAGTGGAGGCAGGAGGATTGCCACAAGTTCGGGGCCAGCCTGGGCTACACAGTGAGACCCTGTCTCAAACAAAACAAAAACCCACAAAAATCCCTCTAAAATAAAAGCCAAACAAACCCAAAATTCCAGCCTCAGGGAACAGATATTTGCCAGCTTGGGTACACAGTGAGACCTTGTCTTGAAAGTCACAGATGTGGACTGGACAATGTGACAAGTATCAAGGAGAGAGATCGAGCCAGGAGGAGAACTGGAGCGAGGGCTGCGGTGGGGTTTTCCAAAAAAAGGGCATTGAAGCAAAGAACCCCAAAGCCCAGATAAAGGATTATAAGTGGGGAAACTGAGGCACGGGTTCAAAGTCGCTTCCCTGAGGCTGGCTGTGAGCAGTGTCAGGGCAGGTCTCCGTCCAAGGGCTTGCACACTCTGAGTCCCAGGATACAGGGGTCTGGAGATGAAGCACCTACTACAGGGGGCGCAGCGCCCCGGCCGGCGCCATCACCGGCTCTCCTTTAACTGCGATGCCTGCTTCTCTAGATACTAGGAGAGAAACTGGGACTCGGAAGAGTGCCGGCAGTTGCATGAACTCACTTGAGATTTAAAGTGGTTAGAGTTATTACAGCTGCTGCCACTCCTGTTCCCTTGTTAGAAGGGCAGCGGACTGCGAGGCGCCCGGCACCCAGGCATGGGTAGAATTCGAATCTGGGCCTCAGCGCCCGAGCGCCCCGCCAAGGCGTCCTGGTCCGTGCCCGCCAGGGGGCGCGCGAGGCCGGCGCCGTTTGGGGGGGCCGCGCCCCGCCCCCGCCCTCGCCCCTCCTCCGGCGGCCCCACCCGGCACAGACTGCTCGGGACAGGACCGAGCACGGGCCGCGCGTCGCCTCAGACCGGACTCCAGCCCGGTGAGTGTCCCCGAGCCCGCGCCCCGAAAACCCGTGTCCCCCTTCCCTCTGCGACGGCGTCGGGGTCCGCATCCCATACGCTTCTTTTTGCCCGGATTTTTCCGGGCTCCCATGACCCTCGCCATCCTCCAAGCCGCCCTCTTCTGGCTCTGTCCCCGTAGGTCGCCCGCCACCTCACAGCCCCAACAGACTTCCCCGGGACTCCCCGGGCCAGGGTCAGCTCGGGACCCACCTCCGCGCACACCCCAAACCCTGCGCCTGCCGCACCCTCCTCGCCAACTCTTTTCCCTTCCCCATCCCCTGAAGTGTCCTTGTGATTTTACAGATTTTTATCGGGCTGGCTTTCCAGTTACTTCGGTGCTTACACTTCCCTGCCTTGGCTAGTGGGACACTCAAGGTAGACCCTGTGTCCCCGAGACATACCCCGCGGTTCTAGCGGGTCCCACTCTGATCCTGGCCCCCTCATTCTGCTCCTGTCCAGCCCTGGAGTCGACTTTCTCCGAGAAGCCCTGGATTCTGCCCGGGGGCGGGGGGGGGGGTGTTTAGACGCTAGGGTGACCAAGACCTACTTCTTTGAAAAGATTTGCCAGGCTGCGGGGATGCATGCCTGTGATCTCGGTACTCAGGAGGCTGAGGCAGGAGGATCTCCTTGAGTTCAAGGCCAGTGTGGACAACATAGCAAGATCTTGTCTCAAAAAAAGAAGAAAAAAGTGAGGAAAATAGCAGTTCTGTCTGACAGGGTGTTGAAGATGGAAAGAGCAGCAGCCATTTCAGCTCCGTTTCTCACCCCTCCTCATAGTCCCCCCAACACCACGTATTTCTCATCTCCCAGTACTCAGGGGTCTCTCCTCCCCTGGGACGTTTGCACTCACCACCTTCTGCCTGAGCTGCATCTCTTGCCTGTCTTTTATGTAGCGGCTCAATAGTCAGCCTGAGCTGGGCATGGTGGTGCACACCTATAATTGTAGTACCCAGGAGGCTGAGGCAGGAGAATCTGGGCATGTTAGCAATTTAGGAAGATCATGTCTCAAAATTAAAAAAAAAAAGTAAAGAAAAACCCCCAAGCTTACTGACCCTGTGGCCAATTTTTCATGCCCGCTTCTTGATGCCTGGCATTTTCCTGGTGTCACAGCTGCCTGTTGCTCACCATCTCACAGGGAACTCTGAGCAAGTGGCCCCAGAGTCTACAGCATCAAAGAGTGACAGGAAACGTGCTAGGTGGCACAGAGACTCAGAAATGGGATTCTTCCGGGCAGCTTGCTCTCCCATGCCTGTCCTGGGCTCCCACCAGCGGCTCCCTTCCCAGCCACTCCTCTGTGCCTCGCCTGACCGCCCTCTTCCTGCTCCTCTCCGCCCCGCCCAGCCTTCTGCAGGCCGCCTACCCTATCGAAGACACGCCCTCCAGGGCCCTCGCAGGCAGCAGCTCCCCACTTGCCTCCCTCGGTGCTGCCACCATGTTCAGCTGGCTGAAGCGGGGCGGGGCCCGGGGCCAGCAGCCCGAGGCCATCCACACGGTGACCTCGGAGCTCAAGGAGCTGTACCGCAGCAAGCTGCTGCCGCTGGAGGAGCACTACCGCTTCGGTGCCTTCCACTCGCCGGCCCTGGAGGATGCCGACTTCGACGGCAAGCCCATGGTGCTGGTGGCCGGCCAGTACAGCACGGGCAAGACCAGTTTCATCCAGTACCTGCTGGAGCAGGAGGTGCCCGGCTCCCGCGTGGGGCCCGAGCCCACCACCGATTGCTTTGTGGCTGTCATGCATGGCGACACCGAGGGCACTGTGCCCGGCAACGCCCTGGTCGTGGACCCAGACAAGCCCTTCCGAAAGCTCAACCCCTTTGGGAACACCTTCCTCAACAGGTGCGTGCCAGCCAGCCTGGGAGGCTGGGGGCAGCTACTTCCCTCTGCTGCTCATGGGAGGACAGGGAGGAGGTGGCTGCTGTCCCTCGGAGCAGGCCTTCTTCCCTCCTCCTGGGCACCTGGCCTCTGCTGTGGAGTCCACACTGCCCCACATCCTGTCCTCGCTTCTGCCTGCACGTTGAGCCCTGACCTTCCTGCCCCCCAGGTTCATGTGCGCCCAGCTCCCCAACCAGGTCCTGGAGAGCATCAGCATCATCGACACCCCTGGCATCCTGTCGGGGGCCAAGCAACGAGTGAGCCGTGGTGAGTGAGGGGATCAGGACCCCGGGTTGGAGGCGCGAGGCTGTGATTGTCCCATGTGGGTGCTGGGTGCGGGGTGCCATGGGAGGCATTTGGGGGACGTGTGCGAGCCGCTGGGCACATGCCTGGGCCCGCTGGAGCAGGGGCGGAGATGGGAGAGGCAAAGAGATGGAGCAGCCTCGAGGCCAGGATTCTGAGTGACTGGAGGCCAAGAGAGTCAGAGCTGGGCTGGGCCTGGGCTGCAGATGGGACTGGGAGGGGTGGGGAGGGAGACCTGGGCTGGGGCCAAGGCTGGGCCTGGAATTTATAAACAGCTGTGCAGGGGGAGCAGCAGGGGTGAATTCCAGCAGAGCCTCGAGGGAGCCTCTGCCTCCTTCCTGCCATGGCACCCAGCATCTGCCCCATTAAGCATCTGCCCCGCAGATTTCCCCCCCATCCCAGCATCTGCCCAACTCTCTCTAGGCCTCGAAGTCCAAGAACCAGGGCAAAGGAGGCTGCAGTGTGGGGCAGAGGGGACTAGGGAGGCCAGGGTGGGGCGGGGACACCCAGGGTTCCGTGTCCTTGGCCCCTGTCCAGTGGCGCAGCTGAAGCCAGAGAGAGGCAGGAGGCCACTGCAGGAGCCGTTGGAGGGAGGCTGAGGGCGCGCTGCCAGCCAGAGAGGAATTCCCACCCCAGACTGGAGGGGACAGCCAGGGATCCCATCCCCAAGTCTCCACCAGGGCTGCAGGGAATAGAGGACGAGGTCTCCTTCCCTGGCCTGAAGGGTACAGGAAGAGAAGGCTCTGGGTTGACCTGTGTGTCACTGTGTGTGTGTGTGTGTGTGCAGTGACTGTGTGACTAGGGCACTGTGGAGGACTGGTGGGTATTGTGGGCCCATGTGTGACAGTCTCTGTGCTTGGCCGTATAGTGAAGTGTGCCCAAGAGCTTGTCTTCTTTAGATGTGTCTAAAGCAACGTCTTCTGTATGACTGGGTGAAGCAGTGTGGGTCTGGGACGGTGCGGAGTGTGGGCGTGAGTGTGCATGTGAGGGTGGCCTGTGTGCCCTTGTGTGATTGTGTGGGACTGGAAGGGACAGTGAGGATTTTTTTTTGGAGACAGGGGCTTGCTTGATAGTCCCAGCTGTCCTTGAACTCACTATGTAGTGTAGGCTGGCCTCGTAACTCGTTGTGATCCTCCAGCCTTGGCCTCCTGAGTGCTGGGATTACAGGTGTGCACCATCAGGTCTGGTGGAAAGAGAGTATCTAAGGACCGTGTGAGACTGTGTTTCGGTGCACAGTGGTGCCCCGTGTGCATAAGTGAGTGTGAGCCATGTGTGGGATTGTATATTGTACAACTGTGTGATCATGTCTGCGGGTACCTTTGGATCCAGGAGAGTGTGGGGCTCAGTGTGGAGTGTAAACTGTGTCTCTGAAGGACAGTGGATGTGCAAGTGCACCTCCAAGTGTGTGCTGGGGTCTTTGTGGTTGTATGTGTGTGAGCGTGTGTGTGTGTGTGTGTGTGTGTGTGTGTGTGTGTGGATGGTGAGCAGGGGTGGCCCGGAAGCTTGCATCTTATAATGTGTGGCTCTAATTGTGTCCAGCTGAGTGTGCTTTAACATCTGTGAGTGCCCTGGGGTGAGACTCTGGGGCTCTAGTCGGCTTCCAGTCTGGGCTCTGCTTGAGGCAGAGCCATGCTGTGTCACCAGGCCAGCCTGAATTTGTGGTGATCCTCCTGCTTCAGCCTCCTGAGTGCTGGGATCACAGGCTTGCGCAGTCACACACCTGCCTTGTCCTCTGCTACTTTAAATTGCACCCTTTGCCCTGTGCCTGGCTCTCTGTGAATGAGAACAGTGACGCTCACAGCCTGGCCTGTAAGAAGGGTTACAGCCTTGAAACCAAGTTGGTGCACAGTGGGCCCCGGGGATCTGGGGCGGGGCTTATTTTTCTGTGGCCCCGCCCCCACCACGTCCTATTCTCACACTGAGTCAACCTCTCCCCCCTCTTTCCCGTGAGACACACTTTCCAAATCCGTGCTTGCGTGTTAACTGGTCCCGCCTCCTCCAGAAATGCCCCGCCTACCTTAACACATCCCCAAGGAGACTGGGCAGGACCAGGGCGGGGACACACTGGCTCCCCAGCCCGTCCTGGAGTTCTATGGGCTCCTGTCTTGTTGCCTCCTGCCTGTATGTTTCTCAGAAACCCCTTAATCTCTCGTGCCTCAGTTTCCTTGTCTGGAAAATAGGGTCACAAAAGTGCTGCCACACTGGGGACTGTGACCCCATAGAGACAGAGGTGGTGCTGGCCTGGGTTCCTCTCCCTCCCCCAGAGCAGGCAGCTTGGGAAGGTTCCAGAGATACCCAAGGAGGCTGCCATGTCCAGAACTAACACTTGTGACTAAGTTACTGTGCTCCTACTACCTGGTCTCCGTCTGGTTTTTATTTTTATTTTGCAGTTCTGGGGATTAAATCCAGGACTTTCATGTTGAGCTCCATCCCCTAAGTCCCACTTTTTTTTGAGAAAAGATCTCACTAAGTCACTAAACTCCAGGCCAGGGTAAGAGGATCAGAAACTGTTGACCATCCTACATCAGCCTCCAGAGTGCTGGGATTATAGGCATGCACGACCATACCTGCTTTTACTTTTTAAAAAGTTTATTGGGTATAATTTACATGTCATAAAACTCACTCACTTATTAGTGTATAGTTTGAGGCCTGCCATTGTTTAAAACTTTACATCCATTAGCTCATTCCTAGTCTTTTCATCCTCCCGGACACCATATGAGGTAGGTGCTATTATGATTTCCAGTCTGTAGAGGAGGAAACAGAGGTTCACAGAGACTTCATAGCTTACTTGCCTGAAATCACAGGGCTAATGGAGCAGAGAAACAATTCACACCCCCGTGTACCCCTCTACCATGGTAGAGGGGCTCTCAGTCACCCTTCTCTGGGCTCACAAACTTTGCTTGGTTTTGTTTTAGATTCTACCTTTTTTTTTTTTTTTTTTTTTTTGAGCTGGGTGTTGCTGTGTCATTCAGGCTGGCCCTCAGGGGCCTGGTCATGGAGGCCCGAAGTGGGCTGGGAGTCTGCAAAAGTACAGGGATCTCTAGAGTCCCAGCATGCTGGGACTCAGGTAGGACCTCAGCTATTTGGCATGGAACAGGATTTGGATAGTTAACAACCTGAACATCCACACAGTCCAGTATCAGTTCAAAGAGAAGGGGCTGGGGATTTAGCTCAGCAGTTCAAGCGCTTGCCTGGTAAGCACGAGATCATCAGTTCAATCCCTAGTACAAAAAAAATACATGCCACTTAAAGGTAGAGGTCAAGGGGCTGGGGATTTAGCTCAGCGTCATAACCTCCTGCCTTGTAAGCAGGCAGTGGTGATTTCGATCCCTGGTACTGATTTTTTAAAAAAAGAGGTAGAGGTCTGACTTCTGCCTCAACCCCCGCGCCCCGCAGGCTACGACTTCCCAGCAGTGCTGCGCTGGTTCGCAGAGCGAGTCGACCTCATCATCCTGCTCTTCGATGCGCACAAGCTGGAGATCTCGGATGAGTTCTCCGAGGCCATCAGCGCCCTACACGGCTACGAGGACAAGATACGCGTGGTGCTCAACAAGGCCGACATGGTGGAGACGCAGCAGCTGATGCGCGTGTATGGCGCGCTCATGTGGGCGCTGGGCAAGGTGGTGGGCACGCCCGAGGTGCTGCGCGTCTACATCGGCTCCTTCTGGTCTCAGCCGCTCCTCGTGCCGGACAACCGGCACCTCTTCGAGCTGGAGGAGCAGGATCTGTTTCGCGACATCCAGGGCCTGCCACGTCACGCGGCGCTACGCAAGCTAAACGACCTGGTGAAGCGCGCACGGCTGGCCAGGGTGAGAGGAGGTGGCGGGGCAGGGAGACAAAGCAGTGCAGTCACTGCCTGGACCCTGGGGATTAGGGGGTGAGCCCAAACAAGTGCCATTGCCGAGGGAGTGGGGGATGGCATAGTTTCTGCTGTCCTCTGTAGCTTCTGTTTTTTGAGATGATAGTCACTATGCAGTTTAGACTGGCCTTGAATTCAATGCACTATATAGTGCAGGTTGTCCTCGAACTCAAGCAACCCTCCTGCCTCAGCCTCCCCAGTGCTGGTATTACAAGTGTGCCACCACATCCTGTGATCAGACTATATCTTGTCTTCCCTCTGTCCACAGCTAGCATGACTCCCATCTCTAAAAGCCAGAATCTTCAGGTGGCCTGCAGATCATCTGCTTGCCCCACTCTGTCTCCTCTGCCTTTATCTCCTAGTCTCCTGCACTGCACCCTACCCCTGCCCCAGGGCCTTTGCACTTGCAGTCCACACTCTTGGAAACCTCTTCTAGATCATCCATTTTTGTTTGTTTTTTGTTTTTGGTACCGAGGATTGAACTCACAACCTTGTGCTTATCAGGCAGGCACTGAAGCCACTGAGCTTGGAAACCTCTTCTTTCTTTGTGCTCCTCCTCCCACCTGGCACACCCCACACCTTTGTCCAGCCTTCATCACCTGCCATCTTCCCAGAAGGGCTGTTTTTGTGGGTCCTGCTGTAGCCCTAACCCTGCTGGAATTCTGCCTTCAGGGCCAGTGGGTCCACCGTGTGCCACCCATTCTTTCGAGGTCTGTGTTTGGCATCTGCGTCCTCAGCTCCTGTTAAGTTCCACAGAGCCTGGGACCTTGGAAGTCCTCCAGGATGAGTTCCAGAGCTTGGATAGACCAGAGCTCAGTACATATTTACCGACTGAGAAACTAGACAAGCCCTGAGCTTCACCACCACCCCAGGACAGTACAGCCCTGTGTGGTCAGGGTGGGGGTCACATCACCCAGGGGAGGTGAGCAGGGCTTCCTGGAAGAGAGGCACCAGGGAGAAAAGTGTAGCCAGCACAGCCAACCCCGGCTGAGGCTGGGCTTCTGAGGGTTGTGCCAGGCACAAGGGAGCCACTGCAGGTTTCAGAGCAGCGGCAGGGCTGGTTCCTCCAGTGGGTATTCAAGGCAGAGGAGACCAGCGCGGAGGCTGCAGGAGCAGCCTGGGTCCGGTCGGGACTTCGGAGGGAGACGCCAAGCGGGGCAGGCACCGGGGAGGCTGCCAGGGTGGAGCGGGGGCCCAGAAAGCCATAGGTGGCGGCGGCGGAGCTGAGATGTTGGTTTAGGCCGGGGAGAGGGTGAGTCAGAACCCCTCCGCCCCCGGGAATCCTGCTCGCGCGCCAGCGGTGTGGACGGGGCTGGGAGCTCGGCCGCGGTGCCTCGCGCGCCCTCCCCCGCCGGCTCCTCCTCTCTCCTGCGCTTTCGCCAGCTCTTCTGCAGCCCGGGCTCCTTTTCTCTAGCTTCCTCGCCCTGGATCCCCAGGTCCCTGGGGGGAAGCAGGGCGGGAGTTGGAGGCCAGGGAACCGGGACAGGGGGCGCGGCGGGGCCGGACACCTGGTGTCCCCACTAGGCAGGAGGTGGCTCCGGAAACCCGGACAAACCCCGGAGCCGCCCCACGCCCCGGCCAGCCGCCCACCTTATCTCTTCCTGGCACCTTCCCCCGCTTCCTCCCTGGAAAAGCCATCAGCCCGGGTGCCCGCTCCGGCTGCTGTGGACCCCGCCCCCTCCGCGCATTGGCCAGCTGCCAGGCCCTGCCCACCAACCTGGCCACGCCCCTACCCCATTGGAACTAAGGCTCTTAGTTCCCGCTGACAGCAACACGCTGGCCTGAGCCAGGTGCCCCGGTGGTTGGAGGACACAGCTGGAGGCCGCTGGAACTGTTATGTTCTAAATCCATCATTGCTGTTGCAGAGCTGGGGACGGGACGCAGGGCTTCACACTGAGCCAAACTCTCAGCCCTGTTTTTATTATTTTGACCCAGGGTCTTGCAAAATCTCAAAATTGCACAGGCAGGGCTCCAAACTTTTGACCCCTATTTTTTTTTTTATTTTATTTTATCGGTACCAGGGATCGAACTCACGACCGCCTGCTTGTAAGGCAGGCGCTTATGCCGCTGAGCTAAATCCCCAGCCCCAGGGCTCCAAACTTTTGATCCTCCTACCTCCTACCTCAGCGTCACATAATGCTGGGATGACAGGCATGCATCAGCATTCCCGGCTTAAACCTACGATTTTTTTTTTTTTTTTAGAAAGTCTCACTTTGTAGCCCGGGCTGGCCTTGAACTCACTGGGATCCTGCAGCCTCAGCCTCCAGAGTCACAGGTGCTGGGGTCACAGGTGTGTGCCACCACACCCAACACCCTCTTGTTTTTATATTTGACATGTGTTGTCACTGTGCCTCCTGAAGGTGGCCATGCCAGCCCCCTGCTCGCCTCCTTCATTGCTAGTGTTTCTGTGGTTTGAGAGATTGTGGCTCCAAGGTTCCCAAGTCTGTTGCCCATCTGCCACCCATTCCTCAGGAGTTCTTTCTGTGCATGTGGTGCCTGCACAGTGGAAACGGACCAGGCCTCATACCCTGGAGCTACATTTGATGGGGGGGGGGGAACAGAACTAAAGCAACAGATCAAATAAATTAACCGTGGATTGTGACACCCTGTGAAGGGGACACTAAAAGCAACAGTGTTGATCAGGCTCTTAGTTCCCACTGGACAGTCTCTGTGGGACAAGATGTGTAAAGGACTTTGAGGGAGTCAAGTCTGCAGAGGCCAGGAAAGAACTCTGGGCAGAGCAAGTGGAAGGTACAAAGGCCCTGGGGTGTTGAGATGTAAGTGTCCTGGAGAGCTGTGGATGGCAGTGAGGGATGGGAGTGAAGGGGGGAGAGATGTCATTTGTATCTGAAGGACCCAGGCAGGACATGCAGGCCAGTGATGCGCAGACCTATGGGCCTCAGGACCCCTTTCCACTAGCAGTTACTGAGCTGAGTGTGGTGGTGTATGTCCACAGTACTAGCTGAAGCAGGAAGCTGAAGCAGGAGGATCACCATGAGTTCAAGGCCAGCTTGAGTGACATAGCAAGACCCTGTCTCAAACAACAGTAAATAAAGATAGAGTGCTGCTTGATTCCCGGGGCCAGCAGGGCTGGGTGGCACTACCTCAGGAGTGGCGGAGCTGAGACGCAGCACTGGGCTGGACGTGAGTCCAGGCTACAGGGAGGAATGTGAATAGGCACTCAGCTAAGGCTCAAGCCCATTGACGGGCAGTGTGGTATGCCGTAGTGGACAGTGTGGAGGTAGCCAAAGAGTATAGGGGCTGAAGTCACTGGGGAGACAGGGAGCCACCCCACCCCCAGCAGCCTCACCTATAATTGGATAGACCTGCAGATCCCAAATTGGGCGTGGAGGCACACACCTGTAATCCCAGCCCTGGGGAGGCTGAGGCAGGGTTATAAATTTGAACCCAGGCGGGCAACTCGGTGAGTTAGTGAAACCCTGTCTCAAAACAGCTCTCAGGAGGCAGAGGCAGGAGGATCGGATCGTTAAGAGTTTGAGACCAGTCTGGGCTACAACATGAGCCCGAACTGCATAGTGATATCCTGTCTCAAAAAGACCAACCAAAAAAAGGGTGGGGAGCTGGAGATGGAGCTCAGCATCAAGGCCAAGTTCAATCCAAATAAAGAAAAAGAAAGATCGCCAGGATCCACCCAGCCCTGGGACCTCCTCCGTTTAGGTGGGCTGCTCCTCTGCAGGTTCACGCATACATCATCAGCTACCTGAAGAAGGAGATGCCTTCTGTGTTCGGGAAGGAGAACAAGAAGAAGCAGCTGATCCTCAAGCTGCCCGTCATCTTCGCCAAGATCCAGCTGGAGCACCACATATCCCCCGGTGACTTTCCTGACTGCCAGAAGATGCAGGTTGGAGCTGGTGGGAGGGGCGGCTGGGTGACAGGAAGGTCACCCTCTGTTGACCTCTGGGGAGAAAGTGGGGCTGGGGATTGTGGGGAGAAAGTTCTGGAAAGCATCTTCCAAATGTTGGTCTTTGGGAACTTGGTTTTATGAGGTAAGATAATGGAGTGAAGAAAAGACACACAATAATGGTGGCTTAATTTAGAGTTTTGTTTTCCCTTCTTCATAAAAGGCCCAGAACATGACCTGGGGCTGATTTGGTACTTTATAGAGCCAAAGAACTAGTTTTATTTCTCCTGCATATCTGGCCTCCACTCCCAAGAATTCTCATGGTACAAAATGGCTGCAGAAACTTTAGTCATTATGTCTGCATTCCAGTCAGCAAGAGGGAAGAGAATAGTTTCTGTAAGGACTGTTTCTAGAACAGTCCTAGTCAATACTACTTTCTACCATTATTGGAATGTCCCAGACTGGACTGCTCAGTATGATAGCCACTGGCCACATTAAGACTGAATTAAAGGCCGAGGAGGGGTTTAGCTCAGCAGTGTAAGTGCCTGTCTGGCAAGCATGGGATCTTGAGTTCAATCCCTGGCACAAACAAACAAAACAAAACCAAACAAAACAAAAACCAAACTGCATTAAAGCCAGGCATGGTGGTATATGCCTTTAATCCCAGTTACTTGGGAGGCTGAGGCAGGAGGGTCACAAGTTCGAGGCCAGCCTGGACTACATAGTGAGAGCCTAAGAAAAACAAATTGAAAATAAACTTTTTTTTTTTGTCTTTTTCTTTTTTTATCAGTACCAGGGATCGAACTCTTGACTGCCTGCTTGCAAGGCAGGTGCTTATGCCGCTGAGCTAAATCCCCAGCCCCTGAAAATACTTTTAAAAGGGCTGGGATACAGCTCAATGGTATAGCACCCCTGGGTTTGATTTGCAGTGAAAGAGAGAGGAGGGGAACACACACACACAAAAGCATCAAACTACAGACTTTTCTTTAGGGTTTTTTTTTTTCTTTTTTTGAACCAGGGAATGAACTCACGACCTTGTGCTTGCCAGGGAATGCTTATGCCACTGAGTTTTAACTAACTTTTTCTTTAGTTTTAACTAATTAAAATAACCAAATCTGGCCAATGGCTACCATTTTGAACTGAATAGTTCTCAAAATTCCACAGGGCAACTTGTACTTAGATCCAACTGGCTGGGAGCTGGTCACGTGGCCAGTTGGCTGCAAAGGGTGCTGGGACATGCAGTCTTTTTCATAAGTGGCCATGTGCCAAGGTAACTGAGAATTCCACACTGAGGAACAAACCAACATTGGGAGATGAAACTTCTTGCACAGTCAGAAGACCTAGGATTGTAGTGCTGGGGAACATGGTGGATTGGGTATGGCCAGGGCCGCTCTGACGTCCTTTGTCCCCGCCCCCCTCCACAGGAGATGCTGATGGCCCATGACTTCACCAAATTCCACTCCCTGAAGCCGAAACTGCTGGAGGCCCTGGATGAGATGCTGACGAAGGATATCGCCAAGCTCATGCCCCTGCTGCGGCAGGAGGAGCTGGAGAGCACGGAGGTGGGCGTGCAGGGCGGTGCCTTCGAGGGCACCCACATGGGGCCCTTTGTGGAGCGGGGCCCAGATGAGGCGCTGGAGGATGGCGAGGAGGGGTCCGATGAGGAGGCCGAGTGGGTGGTGACCAAGGACAAGTCCAAGTACGACGAGATCTTCTACAACCTGGCGCCGGCCGAGGGCAAGCTGAGTGGCTCCAAGGCCAAGACCTGGATGGTGGGCACCAAGCTCCCCAACTCTGTGCTGGGGCGCATCTGGAAGCTGAGCGACGTGGACCGCGACGGCATGCTGGATGACGAGGAGTTCGCCCTGGCCAGCCACCTCATCGAGGCCAAGCTCGAGGGCCATGGGCTGCCCACCAACCTGCCCCGCCGCCTCGTGCCGCCCTCCAAGCGGCGCCACAAAGGCTCTGCTGAGTGAGCGCTGCCTGCTACCTACCGGCCCTGCTCTCCTTTGCCCTCCCTTGGCTCCCTGGCTCCTCTGGCTGCACGTGCACCCCTGCTCTGACCCACATGCGCCACCCTGCCCAGCTGTGAGGACAGAGTCCTCCTTCCCTGCTGCCAGATAGTTGGGTCCAAGCATTTAGTAGGGACTAGGGGGAGGGCAAGGCTTCTCACTGCCACTTTTTTCACACCTCGTGGCACATAATGGCTGCACTGCACCCCACATACATATGTTCAGATGCATCACACTGACACTAACACCTGGGCATCGGCCCACACATCATTCATTCAGATATTTATTGAGCACCTACTACATTGCCCAGCCCACATGGAGCTACCATTCTCAGGAAAGGGAACCCACCGATCACAAAAGCATGCTGAAACCTCCCATTCCTCCTGCCCAGCCAGCAAAGACCCTCCCATCCTCTCCTGTCCTCAGGTCTTGGGACAACTGGGGCCTCTTGACCTCCTGCTTCCTCAGATGGAGCCCTCTTTAGTCCCCACCCCTCCTTTTTGGGGAAAGCCTGCAAATTCTGATCACACCATTTCTTTAATAAAGATTGTGCAACAGGCAGGAAAACCCCTTCCACCTAGGTCCCTCCTGGATCATGGCCCCGTGAAGGGACTTCTGTCCACCACCTGCCCTACATGGAGTGGCCTTCCTGCCCTGGGGCCCCTCCCTTTCCTCCGCAGGCGCCCCAATTCTAGGACTGTTGTGGCCCCGCCTCTGCCAGCACTAAAGAGGCACCACTACTGGATACAAGGGGGCCAGGATTTCCTCCATCTCGATTTCAGGGATGTCCTGAGGGAAGGTTCTTGGTGCTACAGCCCTACCCCCCTGACGGGACTGTCCCCCACACTTTTCAGTCCTTCACCACATTAATGCCTCACCCTGATGGGGGATCCCAAGCTGAAGGCGGGGAGGAATAAACACCTGGAGGCCACGCCCCCTCCAGCTGTGGGCCGGGCTTCCCTCACCCACCGGCGACCCCATCCGCACCCATGAGGGGCCCGAGAACTGAATTGTGTCCCCACTGAGCGAATAAAGCCCAGGCTTCTCTCCAGGTTGCAGTCAGGTTGTCTTGGGGGTGTAGAAGGGGGGCTGGAATGGGTACAGGCCCCCGTCTCCGCTGGCTCGGGCGGGTGGAGTCCGTGACTCAAGGCAGCGGAGGCTGGTGACTCAGGCCCGGGCTGGGGGCCAGGCCTGCATATTTTCCAGAGTTGCTATGCCCCCTCTAACACCCGCCTTGCCCTGCCCTCCTCTTCCCTCCCGCTGCAGGGCCTGGGAACCAAGCCGTGGGGTGTGGCCGGGATATGCGCCCCCTGTCCACGTGCAGCCATGGGATCCGGGTGCGCAGCCCCGACTAGCCACGTAGGGCGCGAGGGTTCCTGCGGGGGTAGCAGGAGGCGCTGGGGAGAGCGACCACAGAAGGGCGCACCGCAGGTCACACCCGCCACGCCTCTCACCCGGGCTTGCGCGCCCGCTGCGGCGGCCTTGGGCGCCCCCTGTCGGATACTCCGGAGCCTGGCAGGGGTCACTGAAAGCCCCATGCAAGGGCCCTTGGCCCTGTCACCTTGCCCGATGCTCTGTGGAAGGATCTGGCTGGGTTCCGTGATTCGTCCCCCACGACGTGGCGCCCGCCCTCCCTGTGCGTTTTCCCTAAGAATCAAGAGTGGCTGTTAGGGGACGCTGAATCCTTTTGGAAGACTGCCAGATTCCAAGGGCCTGAGTTTCCTTCCTTATTTGTAAATAGTCATTCGTTGATTCTGAGATAAAGTCTCAGGGGGTGAGTCTGTAACAATAGCTCACGCTGGACTGCAGGGCCCGTCCTCTACAGTCTAGAGTCACATATGTTTCTTCGTTTAAGCTTCTGAGTCATTTCCCATTTTCTAGACCTCGGTGATACATGCGTGGGATCCCAGCACCCTGCAAGGCAGAGACAGGAGGATGGCAAGTTTGAGTCCTGTTTGGGCAATTTAATGATTTTGCCAGCTGTTGGTATTTTATTTATTTGTTTTTTGAGACAGAGTCTCGCTGTGTAGTTCAGATTGGGCTTGAACCCACCATTGGAGCCCAGGCTGGCCTTGAACTCAAACATGATCCTACTGACCCAGCTGGAACGAGAGGTATGGGCTACCATGCCCAGTCGTGTCTCAATATTAACAAATTTAAAAAGGGCTGGGGATGTAGGTAGCTCTAGTTTGAAAGCCCTGGATTCAATCCCCAGTATTAAGAAGATAAAAGAACCTGGCATTAGGTCGGGGATGTAGCTCTGGCACAGCGCCAGCCTGCAAAGTGCAAGGTTCTGAGTTTGATTCCTGGTACCCCTCCCCCCAAGTTATTTTAAAAAATCTGGCATTAAATGTGCTGTCCAGGAGCTTGGGATTTAGCTCAGTGGCATAAGCACCTGCCTGGCAAGTGTGAGGTCGTGACCCCGGTATCACAAAACAAACAAACAAACAAACAGTGTTGTCCAACCTCAACATTTCTAGTGTTGCTTTAGAGTTTAGGAAAACTGAGAGATGAAACACTGAGATTGCAGTATCTTGCACTGGATTTATACTGATAGTTCTGTTTTTTCTTTTTAAAGAAAACGATATTAAGAAATAGGCTGGGGCTGGGGATTTAGCTCAGCGGCATAAGCACCTGCCTTGCAAGCAGGCGGTCGTGAGTTCAATCCCCGGTACCGATAAAAATGAAAAAGACAAAAAAAAAAAAAAAAAAAAAAAAAAGAAATAGGCTGGCCATGGTGGCACACACTTGTAATCTGAGGCAGGAGGATCGCTGAGTTCGAGGTCAGCCTTAACTACATAGTGCAACTGTCTCCAAAAACAAAAACAAACCGTTTAGAGAGAGAATCACAAGGCTGGGATGTTGACCAGTGGTAGAACACTTGCTTAACACATGTGAAACCCAGGGCTTCATATATTATACAGCATCATACAGAAAAAAACTTGAGCAAAGATCTGGGGTGACAGGGAAAAGGTTTTTTTTTTTTAAACGGAGGACGAGATCCAAGAATTTATAATATTCTGTTCCTATTTGTACCACTCAGAAGAGGGAGGAACCATTTACCTTTTTTTTTTTTTTTTTTGTCTTTTTCCTTTTTATTGGTACCGGGAATCGAACTCACGACTGCCTGCTTACAAGGGAGGCGCTTACGCCGCTGAGCTAAATCCCCAGCCTCCACCATTTATCCTTTAACAAGATGGCAACAGCCCTTCCTTAGAACGCCCTTAGCCCTTTACCAAGATGACTGCAACAGGAAGTACGTCACGAGAGGTGGGGAAAACGGCGCGCGCACGCTCCAAACCGGATTTCAGAGCGCCGGCGACCTAGGTTCTTCCTTTAACAACATGGCGCCGAAAAGCACCGGTGGTGGCAGGCAGTGCTCGAAAAAGGATGCCGATACTGGCTTCCTGGGGCTGC